CACTGTCTGAGCCCAATGAATCCTGGCGTTGCTGTCTTGGAATATGCCCGAGCAATCAGGAAAAGAACAATCCATTGACTGAATATACATAATCAGGTAGTCAGCTGACATCATTCTTTGGGCTCCTAAGGTTGCTAAACCTAGACTCCACTAACTGCAGCAACCCAGATCATAAACCAAACGCTTTTAGAGTAGGCATGGGGTCGTCACTTCATCTTCCTCTCTTCTTACCCAGATGCCCCCTTCACTCTAGAGCAAGGTCAGTCTGGACCACAAGGCTTTCTTCCATTGCGCCAGAGGAGGGCCTAAAATCAACATCATGATATATCGAGGATTTCACCTCGATAACGATAAATGGATGATGAACTACATGTATGCACAGAAACAAAAGTTGTCCACTAGTTTAATGTTGAGTCACATTTTTACGTGAGTCAAGGTGCTACAGCTTCTTAAAGGGACATGAACGTTGCCAGGGGTGGACTGGCCTATCTGGCATTCTGGCACTTTCCCGGTGGGCCGCTTAGCCAAGTGGGCTGCTTGCCCAGCTTGGGCCAACGCAACTCCGCAGTTGGTGGTCTGCAGAACATTAGCTACATGGTAACCTGAAGCTAACAGAGTTTTTCCAGGTGTTTTTAGCAAGACAAACGCAGTAGAGCGATGACGTAGTTGTTTTACCGCGTTAGCATGTAGCTAATGTCTCGCTGATCTCTGCTTGTGGAGAATGAGCTGATCTGGAAGGCCAGGGCTCCCAGTCGCAGCTATCTGGCCCTGCTTGTAATTAAACAGTCCCAGTCCATATTAGATCTTACATTCGGCCTAGAGACGAGTCCACGGGCGGCAACACCCCCCACCCCCACCGCTCTCCCAATGGGGAGGGTCGACTGAGGGCAGACGATTCGAAACATGCCAGGGCCGAATATTGGTCCCAGTCCACCCCTGAACCTTGCTAACCTACACACATATTTTCATTTTTTTATTATCAAATTTTGTGACATGGGAAAAATGATCTCAATGTGAGTCAGAAATTTCAATAACATTGAAGTTTCAATTCATTGCCCAGCCCTAGTTCAGAGTCTAATCTTTATGCTGCCATGCTAACTGAAGCCCTTTTCCCCACTTAGCCTTACTGATAAGAAGTTTTCTTATGGCAGCACAGCTTTTCAGTCCCAGTGTATGGAAATGCTCTTACTTTCACTATCAACTTTGCAGAGATGGGAAATCGTGGCATCAACAAGTCATCTCCATGTCATGCTTTTGTTCTGCTCGGCAAGAAAACCAGGTGATTTCAATTAGCACAGTGAATGAACCTGGTTCGGTAGCTGAGCAGAACAAAAACATGACATGGAGATGACTTGTTGATGCCACATTTTCCCATCTCTGCAAATTTGCAAGAAATGTTGCACCAAATGACTGTTTTCCGTACACACCTTGGTTTTAATTTCATGGTTCAGTTTATTCTTGGTACAATGGTACCTACACCAGCCTACGTTAACTGGGAAAACCGGGTCCTTTGAAGGATGCAGCCTTTGAATTTGGACGCAGCTTGCTATGTTGTTGACTAAAGAACATCTCTATCCCATACTGAACATTTCGTACATTTACCCTAACACCCATACATACCTTACTTCTACTGTTGGTTTTCTTCTATTAGATTTCACAAAACATCACAATCAGCCAGAATTATTTTCCAAACACATCTCTTCTAGGAAGTTGATGGTTCTCCTCTTTCCTTCCAGTTTTTAACAATGTGTTGGACAGTTTTGAGCCTAGTTTTGGGCGACGGTGGCACAGGAGTTAAGTGCTCACCCTGTAATTGGAAGGTTGCCCCGCTCAGTCTGTCGCTGTCGTTGTGTCCTTGGGCAAGACACTTAGCCCACGTTGCCTGCTGGTGGTGATCGGAGGGACCGGTGGCGCCAGTACTCGGCAGTCTCGCCTCTGTCAGTGCGCCCCAGGGCAGCTGTGGCTACATCGTAGCTCATCCCCACCAGTGTGGGAATGTGTGTGTGAATGGGTGAATGACTGATTGTGTTGTAAATAGGGTTGTCACTGTAACCGGTGTAGCAGTTAACCCCGGTAAAAAAGTTGACAATAATAATAACCGTCTTGTTTTTAAAAAAAAACTATATTATCTCGGTGGATTACCGTGGCTGCGGTGTAGGCGCGGTGACCCTTACCAGCCACCGTATCATCTGCTGAAGTTGACGGCAGCACATGCACATTTTGATGTTTACAACCAAAACTTTCTTGAAGCTAAAGCTAAAATAATGGCCAAAGGAGGAGACGGCAACGCCCATGACATTTATTATCCCTCAAAGAAGACAAAGTGGGAAGTACGGGCATCTTTTGGATATCTGAAGAATGCCGAGGGACAGCTGATAGAAGACGGCTATCCTGTTTGCAGCACGTGCAGAAAAAGTGTCTGTGAAAGGCAACAACGCTTCAAATCTCATGACACATCTGTGTGACCATCACCCACAACTCTACAGTCAACGCAAGGCAAGCTAACGTTAACGTTTTAGCTAAAATGCGTGATCCGAGGATTTGGGTTGAGGGAGAATGCAACGAGTCGCTATATAAAGCAGCCGCAGCGCCGCTACCTGCATATAAACCGTGTTGCGGACACCGCCATGTTGAAATGACGCTATGCATTACGGGGCTCCCAGGGACAGATAAGAGTTGGTCTCTCTCCGAGAATAATTATGAATTTAACAACGATAACTGCCTGATGACATTTTCCCACATCTGCAAAGCTCACTGGAAGAACACAAACCGAGGACAATATTTTCCTGATATAGGGTTTATTACTCAAGTAAGGGTAAAAAAGTATCTGATTAGAAGGCTACTTGAGTACTGAGTATCATCTGATCTAATATTTTTAAATGATGACATCAAACAGACAAAAAATAAGAAGTTATGGGCAACTATTGGTATTTTAAAGACTAAAGGGGAAAATGTAAACAAATAAACAACATAATTACAAAATAACACATTTTAGGCAAAATTTAGACACAAACTGAGGACAATATTTTTCTGATATAAAAGGGTTTATTTAGTTTCCTTATTACGTCCCCGGCTCTCTAGGAGAGATGAGGAGGGGAGTAATAAAATTAGTGTGTGGGTAAATAATAACTAAGTGCTGTGTTGCTTAAAAACCAAGGATTTTGTTACAAAACCAAGGGATATTTACAAAGAACCTAAAAACAATACTATATACAAAACCGAAGGAGCAATAATCAAAAGGGGAGAAAACGAAAAGCGCCACCCCAGAAGGGGGTGGGAGGAAAACCGAGAATATTAAATATATAAATGTTCAAAAGGGGAGATCCTAAATCGAGGTCAAAATGCCGGTCCGAAGTTGAGTTACCAAAAGTCTATCGAAATACCAAATTCCAAAAGCGAAGTAAATACCAAAGACGAATTGAGAGCAAAACCAAATATGAGCACACGAGGAGAAGAGAATAGTATAAACTCGACCCAGTCTATACTACCCTTGGATCTCCTCCCAGAACTGAGGACCGAAAGCAGCTTTTAACAGCTGGTAAGTGATCAGCCATGATTTGTTCCAGCTGAGCACCAGGTGACGGGCGAGGCAGAAGCCAATGAGGCCATCTTGTGGCCGAAAAGGGGCACGGCACTTAACATTCCTGAAAATTTAACATGTTTTAAAAAATACTGCAATAATACCGAAAAACGTGATAGTTTTGGTCTCAATAACCGTGAGGTTAAATTTTCACACCGTGACAACCCTAGTTGTAAAGCACCTTGGGGGGTTCCAGGACTCTAGAAGGCGCTACATCAAATACCATTCACCCCAAAATTCCACTATCTCCGCTCCGCTCCGGCACGAACTCTGCAGCAAAATCGGTCCCGTTGTAGTCAATCAGAGCTGTTCCACTACTGCGGCCGATTCTATTTTTGCCGGACGCCGGAGCACCTCCGCAGTCAATGGACAGAAATCACATCTGCCCAACAGGAAAGGGAGCAAGCACAACTTCCGTTATTTCACAATAAATTGATAAACAAAAAGCATTTTTTGTTTCACATGCACAGGTTTAACAACTTTTAACAACTATCAATGGCGGCTGAACTTTAAATGCACAAAAATAAGCCATAAATACAGTTTCCACTATCAAAGTAGTCACACTTTGTTGATCCAAACACTGCTGATCTCTCAACGCAAATGATGGGCAGATTAAACAGTTCAATTCGATGCGTCTCCCACACAACGGGTGTTTGGATCTAACTTCCACGTTCATTGCTCGGACTGTATCGCAAGATCTCGAAAATCCTGCGCATGCCTGTTTGCGCACATCAGGTCTCCGCACCGGACCGGAGCCGTTGTAGAGCGGGTACCAGTAAAAATTGAGTTCGGAAGCGAGCGGCTGCGCAAGGCAGGGGCGGAGCAGAGGTAGTGGAATCTTGGGTCAGTTTTAGATTGTGCTATCTCCTCAGATGTTATCTCTGCTTGAGCCATACAAACGGGCTGACCCTTCTGAAACATACATACATGGTTGTTAAAGATATGAGAAGCTGCTTTTTGCTTCTGCTGGGGTTACATAACTTATTACCAGGTGAAAGATAATCACCCTTGCAGTGATTATCCAATAGGAGGCTTCTATCTGCTTAGGTACTCAGCCTTTCCACCAGATGACAAAAGTCACTTAACGTCTGTGAAGGTTACTATGCAGCAATTAGCCTCTGTCATAGTGGATGGGTGTGTTTCCATTGGCTGCAGTGTCACGTTTTGGGCACCTCCTGGTATTGTGTATTTTTGAGTAGCTCCGCTAAAGTTATGCTTCGAGTCTATTTTCTATGTGTTACGCTTCCAGAACGCGAGTTCAGATAATAAAAGATCTCACCACAAGCCAACTGCACACACACAGGCTGCTTCACACTAATATGGTGTCAAAAATCTGCTGCAAAGGACAAAATGTTTCTGGTTTTAAGTTTGATTCTTTTTTTTTTTTTCTTTTTTTTCAGGTGAGCAATGGCTCATTCACCTGGGGAAACAACCTGTTGACACTGTCAGACATCAACATTCGCATCCCTACAGGTAAGGAACAAAGTAAAGACCTAGATTAGAAAGAATAACAGAATCACTGAGAAACAAACCAGAAGCCACTGCGGCTATCACTGGTTTCAATTCAATTCAGTTTATTTGTGTAGCGCCAAATCACAAGTGAGTCGTTTCAAGGCACTCAGTAAACGTTCCAATACAGTTCAGTTCATCATGCCAGTCAGTACTAGCTTACCCATTTAATTATAGATTCACTAGGATAAATACAATAAAGTTTATCTCTCACCATATAGAATATTTACTAAGAAATCACAATGTAACCATAGAAACACTACTTGGCATATATGGTGTGTGTGTGTGTGTGTGTGTGTGTGTGCTCTGTCTTCTCCATCCCCAGTGAGTCGTGGAGGATGGCTGCTTATACTGAGCCTGGATCCTCTGGAGGTTTCTTCCTGTTAAATGGGAGTTTTCCTCTCCACTGTCGCTGCATGCTTGCTTAGTATGAGGATTGCTGTAAAGACTCTGACACTAGTCAGTGACTTGATGCAACCTGCTGGGTTCCTTATATAGGAAACTTTTTTCTGATTGGCTAAATGAACTGACCTGTATTGGATTGTTTACTGTGTGAAGTGCCTTGAGACGACTCTTGTCGTGATTTGGCGCCTTATAAATAAACTTGAATTGAATTAAAAAGTGTCCCACATAAGGTACCCAGTAGATTCACTCGAGTCGATGGGTGTTTCTTAATGTCAAGGAACCTCGCCTTGATGCTTTGGCCCCGCCCGGTTGCCTAGAAGATACAGCATCAAGAACCGCCAAGGCGTGTTCCGATGTTCATGTTCTACCGAGACGTGTGTTCTCCGTTTGTTAGCCGTTTAGCTAGCTGAGCAAAGACACACGGGAGGTGCCTTGTTGCCTTACATCGGTCAAAAATTTCCCGGAATACAGCGCAGTTTTTTCAAAAGGATAGAGGATCAGGAGCCAGCAACTACTTCAGGGGCAAATTTCTAGTTTAAATGTAAGTAAACTTTTAAAAGTAAAATTTTAGCTTTTGGGCTGATAACAAAAAAAATTTTTTTTAGATCCAGAGCATTCATCTGTGGTTGGTTAGTTGCTTAGTAGTTGCAGCTTTGGTGGACACCAGGTACTAACTTGCTTACATATTTAATAAAACCAATATGTACACAATAAAAAAGTAAAATGCTCATTATACAGAAACTTATAAGTATAAAATAACTTAACCGCACGTGTCACGTGGCGTCAGGCACATTTGTTCTATTTAACCATTTTCTTTGACCAAGGAAGGACAGTGTCCTTGTAAGCAAGGTGCCTGGCCTAGCAAGACATTGTCTTGCTAGGCCAGGCACCTTGACATTGAGACACCCATTGACTTTTCCTGTGTGAAGTAGCCATATTGGATTTTGAGGTTGGGGTTGGTTGGTAATTACAGACTTTAAAAGTTGGAATTCTGGCATGGGGTGGGGTGTTTCAAGTTGATTTTTCCCAAGTTTTAACAAACCAATTTGCTAGCACTTTACATTACAGCTCAGTAATAACATGGTAATAGTGAAGTTATACTGACGTAACAAACACCGTATTTTCCGGACTATAAGGCGCTACATTTTTCCCATGCTTTGAACCATGCAGCTTATAATGAGGTGCGGCTTTACTGAAGATTTTCCTTCACCTGCCAGGGGGCGCTTTAGCAGAAAGTGAAACAGGTGGAAGTCAAAAGTGGAAATCGAAGAAAGTGCTCATTTTAATTTAACATGCAAGCAGCCGGCACGACGACGAATTTTTTTCTAATCCATACCCCCTCATCGTGGTAACTACACGTATGAGTTCATATGTTGCCGCATTTAAGTTGAAGGCCATCGATCTGGCAGTAAAGGAGGGAATCAGTGCTGCCGCACGTAAGCTTGGCATGAATGAATCCATGGTTCGGCGCTGAAGACGGCAACGGGAAGAACTCATTCAAGCCAGCTTCACCCGGGGATGATGACAGCAACACAGACAGCGACACTGACATCGCCACAGAAGGGTATGTGACGAAGCTCTTCTGAGGCTGTTCAACTCCGACACTGAAGAAGAGGACTTCAGTGGTTTCAGTGCGCAGGAGGACGATGAATAAACTAATCAATAACTTTTCAGTTTTGTTTGATACTGATCAGTTCAGTTAAACTATGTTTTCAATTCAGTAGATATCCGGTAGATATCTGCGGCTTTTAGCCCGGTGCGGCTCATATAAGTACAGTTCCATGTTTTTTTTAAAACTTAGTAGGCGCGGCTTATATTGAGGTGTGCTCTATAGTCCGGAAATTATGGTAGGTTATAACTGGGTAATAATATGTAATTTCTCTTACTTGTATCTATGAAATGGCACAGTAATAACTTCAGCTTTTAGACCACTAATATCATAGTAATGGTGTTGTAATAACAATTAAATAAACACGTTTTAATGTCTATATTCCTACATTGTAATTACAGTGAGATAAAACAGTAATAAGTTTTCATTTTGGCTTGCCAGTATCTACCTAACTACCTCTTATTGCCATATAGTTTTAAGGTATAAGGACTGTTTTTTTCTTATTGTGACACCGTAATGACCGAAGATAGAACCATGTAGGTGTCTGTTGTAACGTTGTAAAAAAAATGCAATAATACAATAATGAATCAGGGCTGCTAAGTTACCTATAACCTGTTTCCTATAATTTCTTATTCATATAAACACGAAAAGTCATAGTAATTACCAGGAAACAATACTGGCAATTTAATAGGAATAACCATAAATCAGGGCTGCACAGTGACCAATAGACTGTTTCCAATTTACTTCTTTGTAATTTCCTGTTAGTGTAAACACAAAAAGTCATAGTAATTATTAGGGATGAGCCGGATACTCGTTTCAGACGAGTATCCGGTACGGATAAAGCACTTTTGACGAACATGAGCATGAAACGAGTAAACCTCGTAAATATCTGTAATCGTGCTGAAGGAAAATCCTCATTGGGTAACTGACTGTCTTCACGCTCTGTGATTGGCCAGTGTCAACCGAAGCTGTGAAAAGCACGATGTGGATATAAACACGCTGCTGTGATTGCAGAGGTCCAGTTGGCAGCTGACAGTGAGGAAAGGGAGAGAGTTCCATCATTTATAGGTGGTTCACTTCTTAAATACGCCAAAGATGTGAAGCTGATTCTCGACAGTGAGCCTGTTCTGAAGACAAGAATTGAAAAGAAAAAAGCTGAAAGAGAGTTAATACCCATCTCACACAAAATCAAAGAAAACTAGGTCTTTTTGTTAGTTTGTTGGGTCATTATTGTTAACAATTTTGTTTTAAGCACAATTTTTGTAGTTAAACTTTTGACATGTCAAAAGTAAAGTCTTTCAACGACAGTTACTTGTAAATGTTTATGTTGGGCCGTTCAGGTTTTTTTGTGCATTCAGTTTTGCTGTAATTTACAGTTTTTAAATTTAAATACTTTTTTAATCAACAAAAGCTTTGCAAGTGCTTTGCAAAAACTTTACAAGGTCATTGTGTAATTTCAGTAAAGAAAAGTTCACTGTAAAATAAAAAATTTGCAAACTTTACAGGGGTTTATTTCCTTGCCTTCCTTTGTTAATGGGTCATTATGAAATCAAGTTGAAAAAGGTAGTTGGTTTGAAGTCCTTGGTTACCCTGTGTGTTTTCTGGTGATATTTATGACTTTTTATGTTTAAACTAATAGGAAATTACAAGGAAGTTAATTCGAAACAGGTTATAGGTCACTGTGCAGCCCTCATTTATGGTTATTCCTATTAAATTGCCAGTATTGTTTCCTGGTAATTACTATGACTTTTCGTGTTTATATGAATAAGAAATTATAGGAAACGGGTTATAGGTAACTTCGCAGCCCTGGGTCATTATTGTATTATTACACATTTTTTTTACAAAGTTACAACAGACACCTACATGGTTCTAACTTCGGTTTATTACGGTGTAATAATAAGAAATAAAACAGTCCTTATACCTTAAAATGATATGGTAATAAGAGGTAGTTAGGTAGATATTGGCAAGCAAAAATGAAAACTTATTACTGTATCATTTCACTGTAACTACAATGTAGGAAGTAAGACATTATAACCTGTTTATTTAATTATTACAACACCATTACTATGATATTAGTGGTCTAAAAGCTGAAGTTATTACTGTGCCATTTCATAGTTACAAGTAAGGGAAATTGCATATTATTACCCAGTTATAACCTATTTGTTACGCCAGTATTACTTCACTATTACCATGTTATTACCGAGCTGTAATTTAAAGTGCTACCAAAAATTCATCTAAAATGCTAGCTATTCAATAAGCTAATTAAACCAATGAGAGCGTGAGCGGGAAGACAGGAGAGGATATCTGGTTTAGTGTGACGTGGCGAATGAAACACAATTCAGCAGCTTGAACCACAGAAGCACACAAATTGGCTCATCATCCTTCGTAGAAAAACAAAATGTGCATGTTCCCGCTCTTATTTTGGAATTCTGAGCTGACTGTCTCCATCCAACTTACTGGATGATGACAGCTAAACATTGTTCTGTCTCACTGCAGATCTTCACACCTCTTTACTTTTCTGAGTCGGTGTGATCAGTGAGATTTTTATTTGAGTTGTTTAAGAAGATTTAGTGAAGATGGGGTCAGACACTGAAAGGAGAAGCTCGTGTGAGAGCGCTGTTTAAATCTGAGCGAAGCATGCAGGCCCGCTGTTGCAGCAGGAATTACCGACGCGCTGCACACGATCCGAGTGAGTGACATACAACACCATCCATCTGCTGTTCTCTTGGACACCACCCGCTCTCCTGACGTTTGGTATTTTAGTGATGAGTCTCCCAGGGTGCGACTCTTGAAATCTGAGTTGTGCTACCACTAAGCAAGCAGGACATGCTGTTCTGTCATAGTTCTGCTGTGATTCTGCTCAAAGTAACAGGATTTCTCTGCTCGTGCAGCATGGGTCGTTTTCCACGTGGTTCAGATTCTCCAGTGCTGCAGATGTTTAGATTTAGTAAAGAGGGATGAAGTCACTGGAGTATTTTAAGGATCCTTTAATGTTTGTACTGTCTGACCGGTGATGCTGCATTTAGGTTCTCCATGAAAAGCATCAGTCAGGTGTTTATACAGACCTTAAACACTGGCACAGGTTTAAGTTGGAATTGATTTAAAACAGAAGGTTTTAAGGTGCAAACTAAAAACAACCTTTCTTGTGCGTTTAAATTTGAGCAGCACTTACATTCGATCACTCTTGGTTTTTTTTTAATTTCAGGTCAGCTGACGATGGTTGTGGGTCAGGTGGGATGTGGGAAGTCCTCTCTGCTGCTGGCCATGCTCGGTGAGATGCAAGCCATCGATGGACGAGTCTTCTGGAGCAAGTGAGCTATTATTGTACACGAACCTTGAACAGCAAAGTTCAACTTTAAAAATGTGTTGTTGTTTTTTTTTATGTTGGAGCAGATACTTGCTTCTGATTGGGTGCAAGGATCCCATTAGAGCAGGGGTGTCAAACTCAAATTCACACTGGGCCGAAATGAAACACTGGGACGAAGTCTTGGGCCAAACTTATTATTTTTTGAAAAAGTGACGGCAAATGTGCACATTTTCCTTTATCCGTAGATATGCACCGTTGAACCATTTCATTTGGAAACAAACATTTTTGCATCAACACTGAATGTGGAATAGCCAAATTACACACGAGCAAGTCAATTTTAAGTAAAACGCATCAGTGGTATTCATTACGTATGTCTCAATTTATCATTATTTTAATTCCTTAAAATGTGTTTATATTCAGCATTTTTTTCATCTTTAGAATCTTATAAGCATTCATGTTTTATGTTTTCTTGTTTTTTATTTGTTGTTCTTATTTTTTACTCTCCTTTTCTTGCTCCTGTAATGAATGTCATCGCTGCAGTGACACCAAGCTTTCCAGTTCCTGTTTTATTCTGTAGTTTAAATCGTTTTTCACAGGCCAGCAACAAAAATCAAACAATAATTTGATCTTAAATGAAAATGCAATATCTCACCTATTAACTCCCATGCTCTGGAGCAGAAAAAGTGCATAAAAAACAAAATAATTCAAGCTCAGTTTGCTCCACTCTGATTTACTGTGATGCTCACCTGTTCCAGCCACACACCTGCATCTGTGGGGTTGGGCTCTGAGCTGAGGAAGGAGTTCATCAGTGACTCCTGTGTTGTTCTGGTCATCTTCATCACAGACAACAGGTGCTCCCACAGTTTTGTGCTGCTGAACATGGAGAGCATCTGAGTAGCTGGACCACGCTGCTGGGTCAGCCAGAGTCATACTGACTGGAGCGTGTCGCCGGAGTTATATCAGCTCTGTCTTGAAGTTGGTTGGAGAACTCTCTCCGTCAGCCGTGAACAGTTTACTGAGCGGTTGAAATCGCTGTTTCTGAGCTTCAAAGTCGGCTAATTGTTGAGTAAGAGGAGTGTTTTCAGTTTGTCTGAGACTGAGGAGGTAACGCTGCAGACACCGGTCGATACTGGCACCACAGACCTGGAAACACAAAGGAGGGGGCGCTTTGATTGATGCGCTAACGCTGCAAAGCATGGGATTTGTAGTCTGTGTGGCCAAATGGGCCAGTTTTAATGTATATTTGATATGTGATCTCGCGGTCCATATATAAATAGACAGCGGGCCAAATTTGGCCTGAGGGCCTGAGTTTGACACCTAAGCTTTAGAGGGAAAGTTGGATCATTTTTAATAATCCGTTTTTCTTTCTTTCCCAGAGATTAGTGTAAACTTTTAATATTCTGTCTCTGATCATCATTCATCTAAATAAATCTTTAGGATTGTTCATGGAAAATCTTAAGAAATACTATTTAATAAAGTATCTGTTGGTTAATTATTTTTTCATGTATTCCCAACTTTATCTGCAGATATTTTTGATGGTATCAGCAACTCAGTTAGGACGTAATGCTGAATATTTTTAAGCAGCATTTAAGTGTATTTATTCACAGATAAATATGAAAATTGCACATTGTTGCTTTTTACAGGATTCAGAATTAAAGTAAAAATATTGAACACATTTAGCCTAAAATTGATGAACATTTTCAGGGTAATTGTTATTAACTCATTCACTGCCAGCCGTTTCCTGACCTGTAAAGCTCTTCGCTGCCAGCGTTTCTCACCATTTTTACTGTTTTTTTAAGAGACTCAGAACATTACGCGCTAGGATGATGTCGACGCCAAATCAAAGCGGAGACTCACTTCTTACATCAGGAAGAATCCACGCGTTTCGAGCGTTATCCGTTCTTTCATAATCTGTTATTGAATTGTGATATGCAGAAGCTTTTCCGGTTCACGCCTCACTTTTTTTACAGCAGCGGCCCAAAACGATCTCCTAACACATGGATGTTCTGCTTCCTGATCACGTGACGTATGTGGATGTAGATCGGCTTTAGAGCTGAGATGTTTGTTCTCACGGTGCGGGGGCTCGTCATTGGCAGTGAATGAGTTAAAGTATAAAAATACATCATATTAGAAATGCAGATGTTTTGATTTTTATAATTTAATTATTTTAAAGGCTGTTTTGCTTCAGTGATGCAGATTTAGGTGCTTTTATTGTGAAATCACACTAGCACCCAAATCACAAATGAGCTTGGGTCTCGTTTGAATGAAATGATTTCTGCAGACACTTCCACCTGCAGCCTCTCCAGGTTTCACACTAACTGTTGTGGATGTTTCTGTGTGTGGTTTCACTTTACTTCCTGCCTTCATTAAAATCAGGCTGCCTGATTGTGAGATGGTCCACGAGGGGAACGTCAGGTACTCCACCTCTCTGCCTCTGTCTCTAGAAACTGTAAACGTAGCCTAAGTTTCTTCGGCTTCCTGTTCAAAAACAACAGTTGAACTGCAGGGAGCCTAGGTCTCCTCCCCTTCCGGTCGGCTCACGGGTTCCCGGAAGAACGAAAAAATGAATGCAAGTCAACGGGGCTAAAAACGCTATTTTATAGCCCGTTTTGCCTTACGCCCTGGATCACACGTGTTGTACTGCAGTTTAAATAAAGCAGAATGATGGATGTTTTGATCACACCAGTCACGTACTTTGAGACTCATTAGCTTGTAAAAGTTCGTAATTAGCATGACTACACAGCAGAAATCGGCACGTCGCATTTGTGACGTCACCACATAATCTCCTCTCCCCTAGCGTAGCTGCTACTTACCACATGACCAGATTTATGGTGGTTCTTTCCTCCTATGGGAAGTTTGCTGAACTTTCAGCCCTTTTCCCTCAGCTTTCTCTGTGTCTGGTTCGATGACGTCACTTTCGTGAAGCGCATTTGTAGTCCTGAACTTATTTTCACGCTCCCGTTCGAAAATAAGCACGTTCTTGGTATCAAAATGTGTCTTTAAACTTCATGGGCATCATGTGTGAAATCCATGGCAGAAAACAAGCGGAATTAGAAAATAGCATTTTTAGCCCCGTTGACTTGCGTTCATTTTTCCGTTCTTCCAGGGACCCGTGGTCCGGAAGTGGATGGGCGTGGCTTAGGCTCCCTATTCTGGACACACAGGAACGTGTCAGAAAGAGCTTCAGCTCCTTCTGATTATGTCCACAAGCTGCTGTTAGAGAAAATGTTTAAAGGATTAAAGACCATGGGGCTGCAAAAACATTTTAAAAACTGTTTTTATCACTAAATATAGAAGCGTTACTTAAGAGATTGTGTGTTTGTGGAGTTTGGAGCAGCGCTGATTGTGTTGTTAACTATTCTATCAATGTGTTTTGTGTATTTGCTGTGTTTATTGTTTTGGTGCAGTCATCTGTCTTTGCCACCTTAAATCACCCAGTTTAAACCATTCCTGACACATTGCCCTGCTGACCAATGTGACCAGTAAGTGACGTCAGCTGTCAGTCTGGTGTGTAACGCCTAAGCCTGCCGCACACGAGAGCAATCTGCTGAGCAAACGGCCTCGAATGACCGTTTGCTCAGCAGATTGCTCGCCATGTGCGCCTGATTTTCTCTGAGATTTTTGCCTCACGAGACGCTGAGCCAAATATCTGACCAGTCAGATATTTTCCGCCTCACAGGGGTAGAAACTCACAGTGTGCGCACTACATGAGCTGCAGGCTGAGCTGAAATATTCTAGTGGCCAATCAAAGTGCGTTCTCCGCTCACATGACCCCAATATGTATTCAGATGCAGGGCCCTGCCCCGTCTGCGTGTCTGAAAAATCAACAAAACGCTACCTTGCGGATCGATGGGCCCACTGTTTCCACTACCCTCTCGAAGGATCCGGGCGGCGGTACTGTCGGAAGGATTCTGGGTCTTCCAGGCACATCTCTTGGAGTAAATTGGCATAAACTCCTTGCCTGGCCCATCTTTCCAGCCACCATACGATACTCTCCTTACCTTGAAATGCCGGTGGCGGCGGCGCTTCGTCAAAAAAAAAAAGTAGAGGCACTTCCTCCTTTCCCAGCTCTGTCTCTGTTTTGTTTATTTTCTGACATGCAGACAGGGGGCTGCAATCTTGAAATCATGTGATCAGAGAACGTGCTTCGATTGGCCACTAGAAAAGTTCATCATGGAGTGCGCACACGGCGAGTTTCTACCCCCCGTGAGGCAGAAAATATCTGATTGGTCAGGTTTTCGGCTCAGCGTCTCGTGAGGCGGAAAAGTCAGTGAGAATCGGGCGCACACGGCGAGCAATCTGCTGATCAGTCATTCAAGGCCGTTTGCTCAACCAATTGCTCCCTCTTCTGAGCGAGATAACGACATCTGCTGGGCTCAGAGGCAGCTACTCGACTTACCGAGTCCGCCATTTTCTACCAGGCCCAGCCTAGCTGTGCCAAGCAAAATGCTTGGTAACATAAAAATATAGCTTTTAATGGAAATTCAGTACTTTCATTCTTCACACCTCTAAGCGCCTCGTAGAGGCAATAAGTTTAATAAATATAGCTTTACTATAGCATTATTGTGTATTTTGTGCTCAAATACATTTGCATATTCGTAGTTTTTCCTCCCTTTGGTGAAATGTCTACTTTGTAAGTATTGCAAGTAGCCCGGTTGTCATCCTTTCTCGTCAAGTATGACCAAACCGCCGAGCATTTGTGCTGCTTAAGCGCCAGGTTTCCTGCTGAGTGAATACATGAGCTACGCAACGTTCGCGGTGACGTTATTCACGCCGACTGAAATGAATAAGGGAATCAACAAGAAGTGGTTTTTGGTTCCCACGCCTCATGTTGAGGTAGGATCAATGCTGAGTCTGTAGCTGTGGAGCGTTTGTGAGTGTGCTAACGCTTTAAACTCCCCGAGGCTCTTAAAATACCAAACATCTTTGTGGAAGAAGCCACAAAACCTAATTATCCCAGACAGACGATGACTGCATCACTTACACGGCCCTTCTTTTCTGGGTGGGAAGGTTAATTCGATAAGCAGGCTGATATCGCTTCATCATCGTCTGCGTTTGTCATGAAAATATTTTCCTTTTGTTTTTATGTTTCTGGTCTTTTGTTATTTTCTGCTTCAAACACAAAGAAAACTGCTTTTCTTTGTTTTTGTGTGGTTTGTGAGTGTTTAATCACACATGCCGATGGTAATTCTAACTAACGTACTCACTTTGACAGTTGGTCAGAGACAGAGCAGTCTGAGGACGACGTCAGGAGGTACAGCTTCTTCTTCTGGTCTCCTGCTTTTTGTTTCAGACCTCAAGTGACCCTTCGACCCCCCTCCTGCTTCTCCTTCCATCAGTTTTAACACCATTTGTGGGTTTTGTGCTTCACTAAGTGGAGAATACTGGTTTGAATTTAATTGGGAAAAGGTTTCCTGCAGGCCGTGTTGCTCCTGAACGCAAAACCTTTTAGGTCAAAACTCAAATCTTCTTTCCCACGATGCATCAGGTTCCTTCATACATCATGTCAGGTGCAAGGATGAATAGTTTTCAACTGCTAACAACGAAACCAGCTGCACTGAGTAAAACTCAACTGCCGGGTGTACTTGTCCACACAGGTCAGATACTAACAATAACGTGTAAACACCATCGAACCGCTCAAATGTTTGAACTGTTGGGACGTTTTGCTTCAGCATCCTAAAGCAGTGAGCGTTCAGGAGCCACAGTGGCCTCTAGAGTGTCTTATCTTGCGGTTTTCCTTTTGGGAATGTTGTTAGATTTGTGCTTTTAATGCTGGGAGTTGCTTTCCTGCTCATTTAAATGTCCTGCTGATTAATCACCATCCATCTTTATGTTCTGATATAATCTGTTCATTTTATTGTTTATATGAAATATGTCAAAGGGACACTTTTCTATTTTTTCATATTTTTAGATCATTTTCTTGAGCCAGTATGTGCTAAAATGACCCTTTACAGGGTTAATGAAAGGCCAGCCAGCCCCTATTGCCCCCTGTGGCCAGAACACTTGCAGCTCCATAGTTGCCGGTCTGGTCTGTTTGATTTAGAAAAAATCTAGCTGTCATACCTGGCGCTGCAGTTTGGCTCCAGCATGATTTAGATCATGAACACAGCTGATTTGTATATTTCAGTGATGAATCACTCCTGTAGACACTTAGGATCGCTGGGAAACGTTTCAGCTGTTAGATTAAGCTGTTAAAAAGACAAACGCGCAGCGAGGAGATTGGTTTTGGTTTTGGTTTTGGTTCTACAAACGGACTTTAGGGGGTGCTAAAAGCAAGCCAAACTGCCTAGTCTCCCTTTAAACTCCAGATGAAGTTTAAAGAGCAAGTCACCCCCTACCAAAGTATTACTCCACTCCCACTTCCTGTTTGAAAAATGCAACAAATGCTGTTGCTAGCAGACCGAGAGGGCGGGGCCGCTAACAAATACACACACACAGGCTCACAATGCCATTGTGACATCATATGGTACCAGCTAACGTTCTAGGGTACCTCTTAGCCAATAGCGATGGCAGATTTAAATTCAAATGCAGTGCAGAGTTTTTACCTGACAATGGTACAACACTGACAGTTTTAAGCAGAAAATTTAAATTTAAACTAAAATGCACTAAAGTGCTAAACTACTGACTACACGTGTCTGCAGCACGATTAGACACGCATTTATATAGATTATCAGGAAAAAAAAAGTTGATTTGTGGGTGACTTGCTCTTTAAAAACACTGGAAAGTTAGAATAATTCCTTTTTTTATTTAGATTTACTGGGAACAGGTCGATCCAGAACAGTCCTCCTCAGCCCCTGTTCTCGGTACCAGAATGTGCTTTTGTGGGAAATCACCAGCAGATCTGTTTCTTTCCCAAAAATAGTCTGGAATATTAATTTGTCCCATTAGGGATGAATCACACCTGTTTTTAATTTATGTCAACGATTCAAACACAGAAAAATCCTTCAAAATATTTAAATATATGAAAATCAGAAAACAAAATAACAACAGCCCATAACAGTAAATACTTTCTTTTAGCTTCCCGTTGGCAGTTCTGTAAAAGCAGGAAAAGGGTGTCGTTTATTTCAGCTGACAAAAGTAAAAAATGAAACCGGTTTTAGAACCGACTGTTTTGTTTGTGTTTGTCTTTTACGTGGAGACCCAGCAGAACGCTCTGTTTTCCTGTTGACGTTTTCATCATTTGTATGTTTTTGTGTTGCCGTACATGCTGCTGCTGTTGTTGATCATTCGCAGGCCCGCCGCCGGTAAACTGATCCATTTCCTGTTTTTATTCCTCATATCTGACCAACGATTCCTCATGTTGCGGTGGAGTTTGATGGTTTTTCCAACGATATCCGCCTCCTCTTCACCAACGCCCTCCTCCGGTGTTCATCGAGCCGATTAGAACAGGAACGCTGATCTGATGTTAACCAGTCAGCCCATTGTTTGTTATTATAACAACAATTATATTCAATTGATGTACTTTAACTGCTTGATCATCAGAGATGATGACAGCTTGGAAATGATTCTTAAAACTGTTCAGAAATAGTAATAAAAGTGGAATAAAGGGCGAAAATGTATTTACAAGAATCTGATATGACTATAAAAAAGTTTATAAATGCTTAATATTTATACCAATGATCTATTAAACTAATAGAATGAATGTTTAAATTTTGAATTTAAATTTTCTTATACGAATTCAGACTTTTTTAATCCCTCGGGTTATTTTTACATTGTAATAAATCAGAACATCCAAATATTTAATGAGAGTTTTGCAGATTTGATGATTCATCTGTAGGTGTGAAGGAACCAGTGACTTCTGATCAGTGTTCCTGCTCTCTGAAGCTTTTTAAAGGCAGGACTTGTCGTTTCTTGGCTGATTTCTGTTTCTGCCTTCATTTCCCATGATGCACCTATAGCAAGAACAGGAACTCTGTGGCTTACGCGGCGCAGAAGTCCTGGCTGCTGAACGCCACGGTGGAGGAGAACATCACCTTCGGCAGCCCGTTCAACAAACAGAGGTGAACACACAACCACGTGGGATTTAGAGGCTCCAGGATAAAAATCTGGGAAACGCCTTTTCGTTGTTTTATAAAGATTTTAAATCAAGCAGGTCTGGTCTCAGGTGCTTTTTGTTACTTCTGCTCAGTCTGACATTTCCTAGAAGTGGTGCGCTGGGCCGTACCGTCAAACACCCAAGAGCGCTAACACCAGAGAGGACAATTATCTTATCAGCTTACCGTGTATGGCTCGTCTTTGCTCGTCATCTAGAATCTTCTAGTGCCGATCTGTAGCGAACAACAGCCGTGAAACTCACAGAACGGGAGTGAGAGAGCCATGTTATTACTTAAAAAATGGACTGCAGTACCCACATCTGACCACAGGATGTCATTGTTGCATATTGCACCTTTAATTGTTGGAATGTGGTCAGCACTCTCACCATTCCCTGCAGCCTTCCATACTATTATTATCTTGGAAAAGGTCCAAACATTAAAAAGACCAAAACATGAATGTTAGATAACAAGTGAGTTGCTTTGGGTTAACGATCCTGTGAAATGAGTAAACACGACCATCAAAAGCTCCTAATGGAGACTGGAATCTGGGTTTTGTGTCGGAAAACTTGTGAAATATTCCAGGAAAGCCCCCCTCATCTGTCAAACATATCATCGTAGTTGCACACTGACCAGCTGATTGTTTTGAGGATTAAACCAGACCTGAGATTGTTTGAGCAAAATGACTTTAATATCATTCCCAGAGGCCGTTTCTGTCATTCCCACAGTATTAAACCCCCCCCCCCCCCCCCCGAGCCTCATTAGAGAATAAAAATGTCACACTTGATGATCAATTATGTTTATATTCAGATTAACAAGATTTCCCTCCTTTTTGTAGTTTTATGCACTCCAGTCCTGATTTTGCCCCCAACCTCAGCTTCATGCTCCAGCTGATCAACGTTCTCAGGCCCCGCGGCCCATTTTTAGCCCCCCGCCGCCCAAGCAGTCGCAAACCCTGACTGTAAACTCTAGAATGAGGGACTCGTATGAGAAAAGGTTGGAAATGTTCATATTTCCAGCCAGAGCAGCTCCCTGCGCCTCACCAGGAAGTTCTCACAAAAGTTTAAAATCTGATTTTCAAAAACAACTAAAAATAAATCTTTCTAAATGGACTCGTTTAAGTACGAGTTTTAGTCGTTGTAGTTATTCTTCTTAACTGAACCCACCCGGTCTAGAGTGTAACACAACTGTCCTTGAAAGGAATAAAAAAAAAACGCTCCTTTAGTTTCTGGTACGTTTGTGACATCCACTTCCTGTTGTGTTATTTAGGTACAAAGCAGTGATCGACGCCTGCTCTCTGCAGCCAGACATCGACCTGCTGCCTTTTGGAGATCAGACTGAGATCGGGGAGAGAGTACGATCCCAACTTTTTTTAAATTCTGGATCTTTTTCCTTTTCCTCGTGGTTCTGAGCTCCTGTTTTCATTTCAGGGCATCAACCTGAGTGGAGGTCAGAGGCAGAGGATCTGCGTGGCCAGAGCTCTGTACCAGAACACCAACATCGTCTTCTTGGTGAGCTTCTGGAAAAGTTGGAGTTTAGAGTTAAAAATGGAGGTTGAAGAAAACTTTAGCTAACCAGACAGCAAGAGGAACATATTCTCATTTTTTATCACAACTTATTGTCTGATGCTCTTATTTTGGTGTTTGCTTGACAAAGTTCTGATGTCTGAGCCGTGCTGTCACCAGTTTATCTGTCCTAATTGAATATTTTAATTTCCTACTGCTGTGAAAGAGCTCTAGTTGGTTATCGAGGTTATCAAGAACCTTCGCTGGCGTTCCTCTATACCCTCCTGACTCTCTGTAATGTCTCCAGTCATTAACTCTGAAACTAAAAGGAGGGAATGTTTTCTTTAAGACTGTTAAACTGTGAAAGGTCATATCTGATCTTAACTATTCAGTGGAACATAAACGTCATGCAGGAGACGTCGAGGGGTGATAACATGAGTTTTAGTGAAGTGCAGTAAGACACACCCCATCATCCACCCTCAGGATAATTCAGACTGAATTTCCAATAATATAAACAGACCCTGGTGCCAGAAAAGAAAAAAAAAAACTAGACAATTGTAAAATATAAACACCTACAAACCAGAGGCATGGACTGCTTCAAAGCTGTGATAATAGAAATAAATGGCATTAAACGCAAAGCTGCTGTCTTTTTCAGATTTACAAAAAACACAATAATAAGGTCACTTTTTGAGCTAAATCCTTTTATGAACTATGTAGAAAAAGTAAAGATCTGTGGCATTAGCAACATGGCTAAACCTGCGGATCGCACCCCCGTCGTAAACATCCACTGCTCTACAGCAACTTCCTGTTGGTATTCACTGTACAGTTTATTGGAAAGGTTGAACGTTTTCACAGTAAATAGGAAAAAAACAACACTTTTACAATTTCCACTGCTTCAGTAGCATGGGGAGGAGCAGGGCTGGACTCGGACCAAAATTCGGCCCTGGCGTTTTAACGAATCGTCGGCCCTCCCCATTGGGAGAGCAGTGGGGGTGGTGGTGTTGCCGCCCGCGGACTCGTCTCTAGGCCGAATGTGAGATCTAATATGGACTGGGACTGTTTAATTACAAGCAGGGCCAGACCGCTGCATTCGGGAGCCCTGGCCTTCCAGATCAGCTCATTCTCCACGGGCGGAGATCAGTGTGACATCTAGCTACATGCTAACGCGGTAAAACAACTCCTATGCCATCGCTCTACCACTTGGCTAAGCAGCCCACCGGGACAGTGTCAGAATGCCAGATAGGCCAGTCCACCCCTGAGGAGGAGCCTTATGCAGCCACAACAGCTTGGCTCCTCCTCCTCAGGCTGGTCACCAGGGCCGTATCCCGTAATTGTCTGAACTTGCGTACTCGTGAACCAAATACTGTTCCAATTCTATGTCAGATCATGGCAAGTACACACAAAGTTCCCGGATATGTTCTTGCTCCACCCATTGTATAGAGGATGAATCAGTGAGTCCTTCATCGGACCTGTGACAGCTAGGTATCCCATAATCAATCATCAATCAATCAATCAATCAATCAATCAATCAATCAAATCTATCAAATCAATCAAAGATACTTTATTAATCCCAGAGGGAAATTAGAGTTTCAGTACACACAATTCAGAGATCAGACATACATGGGCAAGACACATGACAAGAATTGGTGATTGTGGTCATTCGCAACCCGAGCCGCGCTACCTTAATAGAGATAAGAGGGTTACATGAGGATTGGTTCAGGTGGAGGGAAAAAAAGAGGCACCTCAGACAGAAATGCAACAGACTTCAGACAACACAACATAAGTGTCCACTAGGTGGGGTGGTGGGTTGGGACTATCCCAGCTTCAGTTCCTGCAGCCACGATAAGCAGCGCATGCCACCTCAGTGTGGATGGGGGAGGGGCATTTAGGGTTGGAGGGTTGCAGTGACCCTGGATGCTTCAGCGGCCTTCCCGCAGTCCCGCCCAGGCTGGGAAAGGAGGCAGAGTTGAGTTGCCATAGCGACGGCACATTCCACATCTCTTCTGAGGGGGGTTGTTGGAGCCTTGCAGGCTCAAGGATGTCAGATTCCAATTAGAAATTGTTTTGGGGCCAGACAGAGATAATTTCCTCTCTGTCTTACAGTCTGCTGGTCTTCACCTCTCCGAATCCCAATTAATGGATGTTAATCTATCCCAATCCGTGCTGATTCGTCCACTCTCTCCTTGATGGCATCCATCTTTTGTGCCAAAGAATGAATCTCCGCCAAAGTTCCAAGCTTACGATTCATCTAGACAATTATGTGAGTCTGTGAATTCACAGCGCGGTGCAAACCATGTCTGAGCTCCGGGATCAGGCCAATATTCCTCGACAGCTTGTTAATTTTCCGGTAAGCCAGGTAGCCTCCAAGGCCAGTGAGCAGGAAACCTGACACCAACACCACGAATATCCACACGTCTTCAGAGTCCTCCACAGACAGCTGAGATAAACAAATCAGGTTCCACTGTTTCCAGGAGTCCATGATGTGTCCAACTGGGTCTGTATCGGCAGGGCGTCCGGGAGCCCCTTCTCCCGTTCTCATCGTTGAAAAAATTGTATCAATCACGTTGAGAGACCAGCTGACGAGATCCATTTGAGTGAATTCCAGTTTCCAGAAAAAATGCAGAAGCAGCCGTGCACCCAGCACACACAGACAGACAAAGGCCTTGAGGATAAGATATGGAGGAGAGGAGGAAAAAAGCGTCTGCACCCTCCAAGAGCCGGAAAGAAGATGCATTGCTTCAAAAACACACCTGAATGTTAGAGCAAAAAGCTCATAACTGTAGTGTTTTTATATCAAGTATACAGATAATGAAGTCCAAATATTTAAAGATGAAGTTGTCTGTTATTGTAAATTGTGTTTTTTTCTGGACTCCTCACAACTCACCACTTAATGAGCGAACCCATTATCAAAGTCAAACCAGCATTGACTTAAATAGCTCTGTTCCGATGAAAAACACACCTTTGTCTTTAATTTAGCTCAAAACCATCAGTGTGTGAATGTGTGTGTGAATGGATGAACGATACACTGTAGTGTAAAGCGCTTTGGAGTCCTCTGACTGAAAGGCGCTATGCAAGTGCGGGTCATTTATCACTAACAGCGGGGAATGCCGGTGTTTTATCAGTTTGGATCAAAAGTGGACCAAATATAATACAAATAAAATGTATTTACTGTTATTTACTTAATTTAAGAGACAAACTAGGCTTTTATTTTTATTTCGGGTCACTTTTTAAACTAGCATAAAGCAGCATTAGTTGCCGTGATGCAATGGAGTACAGTTCTATTCCGACTGTCATCCTTGTACTTCTGTACTTGGTAAGACGGACTTCCTGCTGTATTTGCCAAGAGCGTACTTGTCAAGCACACAAGAATGTGATTTTAGTCACTCTAGCAGGTGCAAGCCCTACACCTGCAGCTGCAGCACACCTGGCAGGACTTGAAGTTCACAACAACTTAAGTTAATGAAACCAAAGTCTTCTTGGACTGAGTAACTTGTGCCCACCAGAGTTTTTTAATTCACACTTTATTGACTTGTCATTTCATCTAACAGGACGATCCCTTCTCTGCACTGGACATCCACCTCAGCGATCACCTGATGCAAGAAGGGATCCTCAAGTTTCTGCAGGACGATAAGCGGACGGTGGTTCTGGTCACCCACAAGCTGCAGTATCTCATTCACGCAGACTGGGTGAGGCCTAATTTCAGCATTACTAAATAACTTTACTGTTCTGTTGAACATTCACGGCAGGTTTAGCACTTTTATTTCAGTAAATCCTCCCTTGACCACCTTCAGAACATGCCGAATGCAGCAGCACGCTTTTTAACAAACACGGACAGACGTAGAAATATCACACCAATTCTGGATGAGCTACATTGGTTCCCTGTTATCTACCTTTTCAATTTAAGGTTCTAAAGCCAAAGCCCTTAACAATTTGGCCCCGTCGTATCTGAGCTCATACGTACCCACTCAATCTCAATCACGTTTCTTCGTTACCCCGGTTTAAAGCAGCCCTGAAGTCTCCTTATTTTAGTCAAATTTTTTGCCTCTGATAATTTTAATTGATTAGCTGTATTAATTTTATAGTTTTTATGCATTCTGTTTTTATTGTTCACCTGGTCAGCTGGTCATTATGGAACTAGGATTGGGACAATATTACATGTAACTTGTACCAAGCTTTGTAACCTGTAATATGTTTTGTAACTGTAACTTTGTTTTGTAACTTGTAACATGCCACCCAGCTCCTGGTGCAATCTACTGTCATCTCCCGCCTCGATTACTGCAATGCCCTTCTAACTGGTCTTCCAGGCTGTACTGTGAGACCTCTTCAAATGGTCCAGAACGCAGCGGCGTGTCTGGTCTTCAATCAGCCAAAAAGAGCACACGTCACCCCTCTGTTCATTGAACTCCACTGGCTAACGCTGGCAGCACGCATCAAATTCAAATTGCTAACACTAGCATACAAAGTCCGAGACGGTACGGCTCCCATCTACCTGAATCCTCTTGCAAAGGCTTACGTCTCGGCCCGGCCGCTCCGGTCATCACAGGATCGTCGGCTAGCAGTGCCTACACCACGCTCAGGACAATCCAGGCTCTTCTCATGCATCGTTCCACCAATGTGGAATGACCTTCCAAGCACTACCAGAACAGGGGCTTCCTTTTCAATTTTCAAGAAACTCCTGAAGACCCTGCTCTTCAGAGAGCATCTTCTAAACTAGCACCCTCCCTGCACCCGTCCCCCCTCTCTACTGTCCACTCCTTGTTCCCTCCTCTCCATGATTGATGTCAAGTTGTTGTTATTGTTGTTGTTAGCCTCAAGGGCAACATGCCGATTATCACTTGTAAGTCACTTTGGACAAAAGTGTCTGCTAAATACATAAACATAAACATAAACAATTCTCGTTTTGTAACCGGTAACATTTGACACGTCATTCATTCATTCATTCATAGAGTGCCTTCCTGCTGCCAGCCAAGGCAAACGTAACATGAAACTTTCATTTTGTAACTTGCAAAAAAAATCAATGTACAAGTTTCAAATCACAACTCTCAAAACACACATCTCAGTCTCCCGTTACAAAACTCAAGTCTACAAGAAAACATTTTGTCCCAATTCTAGCTTCCTTCCCAAAGATCAGATCAGATCAATTTTATTCATAAAGTGCATTTTATATGACAAGGAGTCAGAACAAAGCACTGACAACACAGACTATAATATTTACATAAAACTATTTAAAATCCTTAAGACAGAAAAGATAAAACAGAATTAAAAATTAAAATAAATAAAATAAAATAACCCACACGAGACAGAGTCTCAGGCCATGTCAGAAGCTCGCGATAAAAGTGTGTTTTCAGGACGGATTTAAATGATGACAGCGAAGTTAGCCTGACGTACACTCAGTCGTAGGGCGTTCCACAGTGCAGGTCCACATCTTGAGAACGCTCGATCTCCCCTGAGCTTCTTCCTCGACCTCGGGACCTCTAACAGTAGTTGGTCCGCTGACCTGAGGTTCCGGGCCGGTTTATAAAAGGAAAGAATCTCAGAGAGATACGGTGGGGCAAGACCATTCAGTGATTTAAAAATAAAAATAAAAATCTTAAACTTCACTCTGAAAGTCACTGGCAGCCAGTGAAGAAGAACCAATGACAGGCTTTGTCTGACCAGCCAATCATGAGTCTTGGATTTCTATCCAAGACAATTCCTGTTGGAAGGAAGCTAGAATTGGGACAAAATGTTTTATACTTGTAGACTTGAGTTTAGTAACTGTAGACTGAGATTTGTGATTTGAAACTTGTACATTGATTTTTTTTCTGCAAGTTACTAAATAAAAGTTTCATGTTACGTACCACATTTATGTAGGGTTTGGTAAATTGAATGCTTTAAGAGCTCAATATATATATTACCTCTACTTTTGACCAAAAAGCTGTGATACTCTAAATATAGAATATGACCCTGCCTGGTCTTTATTGTGCTTTAATCAGAAGATTGTTTATTTATTAGGGGATTGTAAACACTTCGTTTGATTCAGAAAACAGTCAGGTTTATAAAAGTAAGAATTTATTTTACGAGCAATTAAAACATGACAAGTTAACTAACATTTACTGTGATGGATGGAACTAGATGTGATGTATGAACCTACGTGTGAATGCGATGTTATCAGAACTTCCGTATCTAGGAGAGCTGAGTTCTGGATGTAAAAGAATTTGGTTTGCGTTAAGCTATGAAGCTGATTATCAAAAACACATCAGACGCAATCTCACTGTCTTCTACGTACCCAAGTGGAGACGCCCTTTTCGTATCCGAGATGTCGGGGGGGAGGGGGTCGGAGACCCCAGGTACCGAAGTCCGTAGATTAACTGCAGTACGACCAGTCAGTCCAGACACATCTCCAGGTAACGACAGTTGTAACTAGTTTGCGTCTCAGGAATAACTCTTAAGGAGTCTAAATAATATCAGCTTGTTTGGCAGGAACTGTTTGCTTTATCAGCTGCGCAGGTTCAAAAAGGTTTTGACGACGTGTCAAAAGCTTTGATGGTTAAAGAGGATTTTGCTTCAGGTGGCCGGTCTGAAGCTTTCTCTAGAACTGAGGGAAAACCCGAGTAATCTGGTTTTAATGTCCTCATGTAATGATTGTGTAGCCAACCAGAGGTTGACAAGTTTGAGGAATATTACCAAGAATCTCAGAAACACGCCTTCTTTGATACCGGATGCTTTTATCTGGGGTAAAGGCTATTTGTGTGTCATGAGTTTAACTTTACCTTACTTTGTTCTTGTGTGAGTGCAAATGGTGATGACCTTGTCATATCAACATGCTGAAACATATATCAATCAATGTACCCATAATCATAATATTCATTTCAACCTTCAATCATTGAGCACAGATTAATGAAAGCATTTCATTATATTAATTATCATAAGTAGCAATAAATACACGTTTATTTAATGATTATCTAGCTCAGGGATTCCCAAAGTGTGGTGCGCGCACCCCCGGGGGTGTGCGAGGTGAAAAGTGTGATGGCTGCAGAGCTCAGAGAAGTCTGTCAGTTGTCACCATTAGCGTAGCCAGAAACTCATTTGTGGGTGGGCCAAAGAAATAGTAAGAGGGCACAATAAATTTAATTGAAAACAAGTATATTTTTGCGTATGTGTGTGTCCTCCACATGTGCCCTAACTTCATAATCACAATGCGCCGAGCTTCAGCGCTCTGGCCTGCGCACGCCGATATGTTCCGTATTTGATCATTTTTAACGATGTTGGAGAAATCTGAAGGTGGTGAGTCATTCTGGCAGATTGTAATTAACACCTGTCTCATGCAGGTGTTCTGACGTTGTAAACCTCACACACAGAACATTGTGGATGCAATAAATCAAGAAATGATTCCCATTCAGGCTATTAACAGCGCGCTGAAGATCTGAAGTTCAGAGTGTGTCTGTCGGATCAGACGTGTTCCAGCGGAACCACGGCTCACGGGTGCACATGTGAGCACATCTGGGCTGGGCAGAAGTTTAAATAGTGCCAATAACGAGACGCAGTGACTTAAACGCTGCAAGTTGTGAAGCGCGTTCCATCCGCCAGCCGCATCACCAAGCAGAAAGTGAATGCGTCAAGCATAAACCAAGCTTTGTGGAGCTGTGCCGCGCGCGCACACACACACAGAGATTCAATAAGCGCGCACGCCGCGCAAACTCCGGCGCGCCGTCAGACTGAAGACAGAAATGAGCTCTGCCTCCACTGTGATAAAAACTTTTAAGAGATTTAATAACAACATTTTTCATTCAAGGTCAAATTAAGATATTAGCTTCTATTTTGGGACGACGTATTAAAGTCGGGTCCGCTCCAGCCAGTGACTCCGAACCTGAACTCATGTTACTGCAACATTTGTTGTTCCAGTACGCGTGGCAGCGGATCGCATATTCAGCCACACCATAAAACAGCAATAAGTTAGTCTGAGGCAAAAGTGAACCTCATGGCTATAGCTTTTCCATCTCTTCCCCTATAGACATTTGATTACGCACAAGTAGGTGATCAGTTCAGGTTTACGCAGAGCAGAAGGAAGGAGAGCGCTCTGGTCGCACAGGTTAAACGTTCCTACTTTAAGAAAACTGTTAAATTGCATTGTTTATGTGCTACCTGGGCACTCTAAATATTTATTTAAAATTAAATCAAAGGAAATTGTAATGGTATCGAATGCTTTGTAATTACTATTTAAAAAATGAAAGTGATGGGGAAAAAGGTCGATCATATTTTTTTTTAACCCTGTCTGTTTAGCTTGACATCTGATATATATATATATATATATATATATATATATATATATATATATATATATATATATATATATATATACATATATATATATATATATATATATCCATGCCCTGATGTGGGGGCTGGGGGGTGCGTCGACATGGTCGGGACATAGAAGGGGATGCGCGGCTAAATAAGTTTGGGAACCACTGCTCTAGCTTATAAGTTTTAGAACTTCATATTTAATTTTAAATCTTCTTTCTTCTGTGAGGCAAGGAGTCAGATAAAAGGTGCTCTGTGAGGGACCTTGAGGAGAGAATGTTTTTGTTGACATTTCATTATCTACGTCAGAGCTGCAGGCTCTGAGCTCCAGCTGGTGTGATGGAGGCAGGCTGATTTAGAGGGGACATATACAGTCTCGAGTCTCCTTTTTGACCAGATGTTGGATGGTCAAACAGTACCGAAAAACTGACCATTGCTGGACGTTACTGTTAAATGTTACAAAACTAATTAACCTGTTACAAAATGAGAATAACGTGTTACAAAAGGCGAATCAGATGCTACAAAGCAAAAGTCACAGTTACAAAACATGTTACAAGTAAAATTTAATATTGTCCCAATCCTAGTTCCATATGCTATGTGCTAAAGAAATAAAACTGCATTGGACTTACCCATTTGTTTTATTAATTAAAAGTGAACGGCTAAATAGGACTAATGATGTTGTTTATTTAAAATGAAGCTAAAATGCCCGTGGACTAATTAACCCAACCTCTTTAGTTCAAACTCATCTATGAAACCAACACATTGGCTGGTCTGGAGCGTACATGTGTGTGCTGACAAAAGGAGATTAGTGAAGAAGCTGTTGCTCATCCATATTTAGAGTTTAAAGCCTAGTTTAAACGTCTCCGCCACATGAACTGACGGAAACGTTTTCCCTTTATACGTCAGTGCTGTAAAGCATTTCTCCACCAGGACAGCAGAGGACGTATCGCCTTTCTGGCGCATCCTGCAACCAATGCGGTCACGTCTCTAGTGTGTTTATATTGTGTTTTTGTGTTACAGAGACTTAACACGGACAGATTTGTCCTCCAGCTCATCATCCAGTCATCATCTCTAAACTCACGTTTCCTGTAATTTATCAACATAAATAAAAAGTTTGCTGCTTATCTTTGCCCACCTTCAGTCACGGGAGTATGAACGTATATATCGCCTGAGTTTTTCTGTGAGAAGTTCTTCAGTCTGCTCCGTGTCTCTTAACTCTCATTTTATGTTTTTGAAGAGGAATGGCAAGGCTACTGATGAAGTTAAAGGAGGAAGTAGCGTCCTGATCCGTCGCTTTCTACGGATATTTAGAAAAGTGTTCATGCATCCTTGCAAGCCTATTGGAGAATCCTTGCAATCGCAGATAATGGCGTCGCGTGTCTCTGCACCTTTGCAGACCGAGAAGTATAAACTAGGCTAAAGTTCCCAGGAAGGTCGGAGGTCAACATAACCCAAACACGTCTGTTCACACTTCAGCCCTCAGTTAGCTGGCTAAAGGTTAAAAGTTCATGACCAGAAAATTAGAAACAAACTGAGCAAGTATGAGATTTGTAGTTTTGTCTGAACAAATCACACAATGCACAGCAGCATTAGAACTAAAACCATCACTGTAATACACATATAAGCACGGTGGTGGCAGATTCATGGTTTGGACTCCTTCTGCAGTTATTGAGTCCAGCATGACCCTCTTTGGATACCGAAGTTTTCTAGTGTCACCAGTGAGGTCGTCTGCCTGACAGCTGAAGCTTGGACCGAACCAGATCATTCATACAGAAGGGTCTAGACGCTGTGATGGTTCGGTCCAAGTCCAGACCTGAACCTGACCTGAAATCCTGAGACAGGACTTTCAGGAGGCTGGGTTTGTGCAAACATCAATAAACTGAAGCTGGGTCAGAACTCCTCCAGAACCACGTGAGACTGAAAAGCCGCTGCGTCATCACGTTTAAGATGTTGTGTTGTTTGTTTCAAATCAAAGGGAAGACCTGCTTTCACCGGATCCTTCCGACCGCAGAATTAAAGAGTGACACGTTTTTTATCCAGATCATAGCGATGAAGGACGGTTCTGTACTCAGAGAGGGAACCCTGAAGGACATTCAGACTCATGACACAGAGCTTTACGATCACTGGAAAACTCTGATGAACCGACAGGACCAGGAGCTGGAGAAGGTAATCCTAATCCTAACCCACCTTCACGTGAATTTATATTCAGACTAAATGATTTATTGTTGTGTTTGCAGGATATCCAGCAGGACAGCCAGACCACCCTGGAGAGGAAAACCCTGAGGAGAGCGTTTTACTCCAGGGAGCCCAAGAACCAAATTGATGATGAAGATGAAGGTAACGGTCTTTATTTTCTGTACGATTCTTCTTCTTTACAGTGACTAAAATTAAATTAGTACTTTAATTTGTCTAAAATTAATCCAGTTCTAATCTAAATCCACTCGTAAAATAAAAATGTAATCATGAATCCCTACACTTGCCCCTATGGTTGTTTTTTAATCTGAGACGGCTTTCCAAGGTGAAGCATCTCCTGTCCAGAGTACATCTGGAGACAGTAGTACACACTTTTATCGTGTCCCGCATCGACTACTTTAATGCGTCGTGTGCTGGACTGAGTCAAGCTACGACTGCACGACTCCAGCCTGTCTAAAATAGGGGTTGTATCAACTAGTCGGCTTCACTGCTCTGTAGTGACTTTTTATGCCTTTCATCAACTAGTCGCTGTCACGTGATAATGACAGACAAGATGCAGTCCTCGGAAAAGAGAGCAGGTGATGAACCACTGCATGTCGGGTGGCGACGTGCTGTGGCAGAGCGTCGGTACTGACGCCCGCCGTAAAACGGACATTTGACCAAATTGTGACCTTTACCCTCTTGCAATTTAACCTTCCCCTCACCCCCATCCTAACCTTAACCAGCTTGCGCATGCAAAGCTCTGATCGTTGACGCGCTCCAGACATCTGCGTCGTGAGCACGGCCACAGTAACATTATGAAATCAGGTGTCGCCACCTCAAAAACAAATTTAACACGCGATTGTTCATGTCGGCTCATTTCCTTTTATGTTTTCTGTCCTTTATTTGTGCCTGGTGCGTGTCGCTGCTGTGGAGCGGAGCGCATCACCTGTTTTGTCCTCTGGTGACGCACCTCACCGGTGCGGCCGGCGCGCACTCCGCTGTTTCTGCGGTCGGTAGATCTTTTAGAACTGCAGTTCAAAGGTAACTCATAAGGTGAATATATATGAACCCAGGTAGCAGTTTTTCTTTAGGATTGAGAGGAGATGCAGGAAGATAATAAACAGACAGGACAGAAAAATTGTCAAATAAAAACAAGTTAGTTTTTGTACCTGGTGGTTGCAACAGACACCATTGAAGGTAATCAGAAGTGAGGAACAGAAAATGAAATAATTATTTTAATGTTTAGAGCAGCAGGAACTGAGAGGCTGCAGGCGCATCAGTGAGTTTGCGGCCACTGCTCGGGGGGTGGGGTGGGGGGTGGGGGGGCTGAAGCAGGATGCAGAAACTACCGTTGTTAAAAGAGACGTGTTTAACTTAGAAAATGTGGGCGTGATTCTAATTGTTAAAACCTCCAGCGAACCAACCAACACATCACACCAGTGCTAGCTTCTCTGCACTGGCTCCCGGTGTTTTGTCGGGCAAGACTTAAGATGCTCCATGTGTTCAGGGTGCTGCAGGGCAGTCTTCCGCATATCTTGCTGAACTGTTGCAGCGTTGTGTCCCCACTCAGGCCCTTTGCTCTGCTGAGGAGGAGCTGCTGGAAGTCCCCCGCTCTAAACTCAGATCAAAGGGGGACCGGGCCTTCTCAGTAATAGCCCCTACACTCTGGAATGATCTCCCTCTGGCAGCGAAGCAAGCTCCTTCTCTACAGGAGTTTAAGTCTCACCTCAAAACGCGCTTTTATCCACTAGCTTTCCCCCGACATTGTTGACCCTGTTTTTATGTGCTGTTCAGCACCTTGGGCCTCCGATAAGGTGTTGGTAGGTGCTACATAAATAAATCTGATTGATTGATTGATTACCCCCGAGATGTGTCAGCCCATAATCCTGCACTTTATTAGTTTATGAGAGTATTTGTGAATATTTCACCGTCATTAATCTGATCTCCTACCGACAGAAGAGGAAGAAGAGGAAGAAGACGACGATAACTTTTCCACCACCACAAACAGACGATCCAAGATCCCCTGGAAGGTAAAACAGTACGACTTTTCTACACAAATAAATCAGGTTTCTGCTTTTCCAAACAATTCTTAAAGGTGTGGAACACAGAAAAAACACTTTTAATGATTATCTCTGATTCTAATCGGCACCTCTTAGTGTTTCATGCAGGCTGAACATGAAAATAGTCTCCTACACCTACTGTACCTCCTGCATTAGCTTCTCTAGCATTAGAAAATCCTGACAGATCTACGTCTCTTAGCATTCGTGGACTCACCCATCTTGACTCACGACGGGGAAGGCTGCTGTTGGTTTATCTTACAAGGCATTCATTCTACTAGAGACCACTGCAGATGTATTGGTTAAACGAGTGTTCAACACCTTTTTTCCTTTTTCATTTTCCTCATTTTTTTTAACAGATATTCAAAATCTAACCATGCAAACCTGTTGGACTGAGTGATGCAAAGTTTGTTTGTTTGTTTGAATCATTTCCTGGGTGTCATCAGGTGTGCTGGTGTTACCTGTCCTCTGGTGGCTTCTTCATGGTCTTTCTGATGGTTTCCTCCAACTTCCTCAAACACTCTGTGATTGTAGCCATCGATTACTGGCTGGCTCTCTGGACCTCGTCCAAAACCAACGAGAGTCTGAACTCTGGATCAGACGCCTTTGTTGGAAACATTTCCGCCGACAGCAGCAACACGACAATCCCTCCTCCTGTTTCTGGGATGGCTGAGGTACCTCTGAACTTCCTGCAAGCAGATTCAGAAAAATGTTTCAGTTGCAGTCGGACTGAATTATGTTTCCACACATTTTCATACCTATCCTGGATGTGTGCAGATTTTTATGTTGCAGTTTAGTCGTAGATTAGCTTAATTACGTCTCAGTTTAACAAACTTTTATTGGCGAATTAGCCTCCAATCCTCCCAAAGTGTTCTTGGCTCACTGGAATTAAACTCAGAAGGGTTGGGGATGTTATCACAGATGTCCGTAATGGTTCTGAGACTCATTTGAGAGAACATTTGTTTTCTTTTAACTTTTTCTGTTAAAACTTTGAGAACAAGCCCCCGAGGCTCACTCCACAGGGTATCCAGGGGTCCTTAAAAAGTCTTAAATTTGCTTTTCAAAAGTTAAGGCCTTAAAAGTCCTCAAAAATAACAAATAAGCCTTAAATGCAGTTTCCATCCATCATATGAATCCGCTTGTCCACGTAGGGCCGGGGGGGGGGGGGGGGGGGGGGTACACCCTGGACAGAGAGCCATTCATCATCATTTATTTACTTCCAACATGCCAGTAACATCACAATTAACAACAGGATGTAAATCAATAATAAACCTCACAAGATAAATCAATAATAAATCAAGTTGACGTTGTTGTAAGCATGTTCGAAAGGGAGTGGGTGGAAGCCGAGCTTATTCAAGCCCACCCCTATTTTTCACTAATAGTTTAAGTTTCTATACGTAGAAAAAACTCAAATTCAACAACCTTATGACCAAAGAAAATCATAACAATAATAATAATGGTAGTCTAGACAATTTAACAATTCTTATCAATATCATTAATTATATATTCCCATACACCTTTACTCACATCATTGCCCATTCTCATTTGTAATGTATTTTAACCAAACTGTTCTTCTGCAGTGTGCTTTAAAACTCTGAATATTTTGACATTGTTTGTGATCAATCTTTAAGTTATTCCATATTTTTATCCCACACACAGACACACAAAAGCTTTCACGTGTTGTTCGCACCAGTGGTAATTTAAATATTTGATCTCTCCTTAGGTCATGTGACGGCTCTTTAATTATAAAAAGCTTTTGTAAATTATTTGGTGGAAGTTTATTAAATGCTTTGAAAAGAATTTGAACTGTTTGATATTTAATTATATCCTGTAATTTTAATCATTTTGATTGTAAAAAAAAAAAGTTGATTTGTGTGTTCTAAGAATCCAACCTTATTTATGATACGGACCGCTCTTTTTTGCAATATATAAAGGGGCTGTAAGGAGCATTGATAATTATTCCCCATACCTCAGTGCCATAAGTAAAATAAGGGAGAACTAAGGAGCAATACAATACACGAAGTGTGTTGCAATCAAGAAATGACTTGGCTTTATTTATTATCGATAGATTTTTTGAGATTTTTTGTTTTGTGTCTGATGTGAGGTTTCCATGACAGTTTACTGTCTATTGTGATTCCCAAAAATATGCTTTCTTGTACCATTTCAATTTGAAAACCATCTATATTTATTGGCAACTCAAACTTTGTTTCTTGATTACCAAATTTTATTGCTTTAGTCTTGTTTAAATTTAATGACAACTTATTGCTGTCCATCCATCTTTTAACAACAATCAATTCTTCATTTATTTTTTTATAAGATTTGGATAATGTTCACTGCTATAAAATATATTTTTATCATCTGCAAATAAAATAAATTTTAGTAATGTAGATGTTTCAAAAATATCATTAATGTACAAATTGAACAAACTAGGTCCCAGTACTGATCCCTGGGGTACACCGCAATGTCAAGATTTTTTTTACTTTTTCTGTCCAATATTAATATACTGTAACCTTCCACTTAAATAACTTCGTACCCAGTTCAATGCCACACCTCTAATTCCATATCTTTCCAATTTGTCAAGCAGAATTGAGTGATTTATTGTATCAAAAACTTTTATGGAGTCAATAAAAATTCCAATTGCATATTTTTTGTTGTCAAGTGCACTGGTGATTTCTTCTATGGCATCTATTATAGCCATAGAAGTTGTTCTTTTATTTCTGAAGCCATATTGTCCATGAATGAAAAAATGAAATTTTCTAGTCGTGTATTAAAGAGTTTTTCCAAGATTTTTGAAAACCGACGCAACAGTGAGATCGGTATATAGTTGGTAAACAGTCCATCGCAGATGCAGTTTCCAATGGTCCTATATGACCAAAGACCCAATAAACAAGATTCTTTTATTTCTATAAAATTTAGTGAATTTCTAGTTAGTGTTCAGCATTTTTAGTGTATGATATTGCCGTAAGCGGAACCGTACACATTCAGTTGGTTGTGAGAGAGGGCTATTTTTAGATCAGCACATTAGCTGGTTAAGCTAGTGGGAGCTTGCGCCATGGAGAAGTGCAAGTTTAATGGTAACTGGATGGCTAATCCCACGTTCGCGACGTGGTTAGCACCGGTTCCAGGCAACAGCTGGAAATTATAGCTTAAATTTAGTTTTTAAAAATAGCTTAAATTTGGTCAAAGTGGCCTTCTAAAAGGTCTTTAAAAGTCTTAAATTCGGCTCCCTTAAACCTGCAGATACCCTGCTCCAGTGACTGAGAACCTATGAGATTATCCTGAGACCTGCAGTCGAGTCCCACTCAAATGTAACATTGTGACTTGTTATGGAGGAGCTTTGCTCGCTGATTATTTTTGCTCAATTCAGATGTTTGTTCTCTAACGCGGTTCAGTTTAGTGTGTGGTGTTTACGTGGTTCCTGTTTGCAGAAGGACTCGTACTATCTGCCGGTCTTCATCGCCCTGTGCGCTGCTGGAATCACGTTATGCTTCATCACCTCGCTCGCTGTGGAGTTTCTGGGCCTTTCTGCAGCCACCAATCTGCACCACAACCTGCTCAACAAGATCATCCACGCTCCAATCAGGTGAAAGCTCCAGAACTCGCTCGTAACCGAACAGATTCGTTTACTAATCCTCTCATGTGATCATGTTAAAAGCATCACACAGGTGTAATTGTGATCCAACGGGAGGTTCAGCTGTTAATTGTGATGTTATCGCCACATTTGGGAGTTTTTCGTTCAATTTCTTTTTATCGTCTGAGTTGAAATAGCGTTTTCAAATGCAGAAATACGTTTGTGCGTGGTGAAAAAGCAGAGAACGGGTTCTTAGGATAAATACAATAAAGTTTATCTCTCACCAAATAGAATATTTACCAATAAATCACAATGTAACCATAGAAACACTACTTTGTGTGTGTGTGTGTGTGCGTGCGTGCGTGCGTGCGTGCTCTGCCTTCTCCATCCCCAGTGAGTCGTGGAGGATGGCTGCTTATACTGAGCCAGGATTCTCTGGAGGATTCTTCCTGTTAAAAGGGAGTTTTCCTCTCCACTGTCGCTACATGCTTGCTTAGTATGAGGATTGCTAGTCAGTGACTCGATGCAACCTGCTGGGTTCCTTATATGGAAACTTTTTTCTGATTGGCTTAATGAACTGACCTGTATCGGAATGTTTACTGTGTGAAGTGCCTTGAGACGACTCTTGTCGTGATTTGGCGCTTTATAAATAAACTTGAATTTAATTGAATTGAATTAAAACAGATTCAAGCCTGACTCATCATTTTATCATTCTTCACAAATTACAACTGCTTTCCTTATGAAATGCACCATTATCCATTATAAAAAGGCAAAATCAAAACCTCAAAAGATTCAATAAAGAATAAATTAAAACTCAGTTTCAGGAAGAATCAAACAGGCATACGACTCTTTATTTGAAGGAAGAAAATAAAGAAAACATTAAATCTATTATTCTTTGAATTGTACAAATAATTTTTAATGCAGCAGCATAAAACAGAGTAGAGATGCAACAAAGCAAGGAAGTAAGAACGGGAATAACAGAGGGATAACGACTGACTCAACACCTGTTTAATTACAGGCTTCGTGTTTTTAACTAAATCAGACTTTAAATCTTATTTTTAAACATGCTGGTGATGATTGTTCAGGTTTTTTGACGTCACTCCTTTGGGACAAATCCTGAACCGATTCTCAGCTGATACCAACATCATTGATCAGGTAAACAAACTAAAACAGCTTCTTATAGATGCCTCCTTCCTGTGGCTGTGTCCCGATACTCTCTCTCTCTCTCTCTCCTTTGTTTCCTGAAGCATATCCCTCCAACGCTGGAGTCTCTGACCCGATCCACGCTGCTGTGTCTGTCAGCCATCGGGGTCATCGCTTCAATCACGCCGACGTTTCTCATCGCCTTGGTTCCCCTTGCTGTGGCCTTCTACTTCATTCAGAAATATTTCAGAGTTGCTTCCAAGTGAGAGCCCAGAAAAGTCCCTGTTGGTGCAACACAACAAGCACAAAATTTTAATGTTTTATTTTGAAATCTTTTCCCGTCAGAGACCTTCAGGACCTGGATGACTCCACTCAGCTACCTTTGCTCTGCCACTTCTCTGAAACTGCAGAAGGCCTCACCACCATCAGAGCCTTTAGGTACATTAGATTAGATTCCTTTCTCAACGAGTTCCTCCACACATCCAGACGGTGGTGTATTTAATCCAGGAAATGTCATAGGTTACAAATGCAGCTACTGCCTGAAGTTCATGTATAGAAATACCAGCCTGTGACTTGGAAGTTCATTTTGTTAAAATCCAAGCTTTGGGTGAATGTTTTGCTGTATAAACTGTTTGAGGAATGTGAAGAGAAGAAATGTTAAAGGTGTGGAACGCTCGTTTAATCTCAATGCATCTGCAGTGGTCTCTAGTGGGAATGAATGCCTTGTAAGTCGTACTCGGGGGTAAGAAAAGTTCAGATGCACCTGTTTCAGGAACTAGCAGAATGCGTCATCACAGGAGAGCTTCAGACGACAGGATTTAGATTCTTACTTCCTGATATTTGGACATCTTTCCTCTGATTGGCTAACAGCAACACAACTCTACCACTGACTGGTTGCTCTGCAACATTTTATCTCCACAAATAACACAAGCCTGGAAGAGTTCTGCTGTGTGGTGGAGTTGCTAATGCTAACGGTTAGTTTCTACTAGCAGAGACGTTCTCTGCCGTTTCCTGGACGCTAAACCAACAACAGCCTTCCCTGTCGTGAGTCCAGATGGGTGAGTCCATGAATTTTAAAGGTTTGGCGGAGGATGTTTCTGAACCTGCTCTCTCCACGTTTTCAAAAAGGTGCACATGAGAGAGAACGCCCAGTTATCCTCGTCCACGCTCTGTTTACAAGTAGCTGCTGCCCTTGCAGCTAACCTCTTCTAACAGTTATATAAAATGAGTTTCTCCAAATAGCATGTCAGACTTAAGCTTATCTGTGGTGCAGCAAACTGTGGGGAGCTGAACCTTCGCTTTGCGCAGGAAGTGAAAGCTACCCAGCAACGAGCGCATATGATGGCAGCCTTGCATGATTGGTTTGCCAGAATGATTGACAGTTATGTGGACCAGTGGTTGAGCTGATCCACCTGGAGGAAAAAAAAACGTTGCTATAGGGAGCCTAAGTCACGCCCATCTACTTCCCTGACCACGGGTCCCCGGACGAACGGAAAAATGAGCGCAAGTCAACGGGACTAAAAGCGCCATTTTCTAATTCCACTTGTTTTGTGCCGTGGATTTCACATATGGTGTCCGTGAATTTTAAAGAGGCATTTTGATACCAAGAACGAGCTTATTTTTAAACGAGGGAAAGTTTACTTTAGGTTTTGTGTGAAAATAAGTCCAGGACCACAAAAGTGCATCACGACAGTGACGTCACCGAACCAGACACGGAGAAAAATGAAGGAAAATGGCTGTAAGTTCAGCAAACTTCCAATCCTTCCTTCAGGACGATAGAAACACCATAAATCTGGCCATGTGGTAAGTAGCAGCTATGCTAGGGGGGAAGAGATTATGTGGTGACGTCACATATGCGACGTACTGATGTCTGATTTGTAGTCGTGCTAATTACAAACTTTTACAAGCTGATAAATCTCAAAGTACGTGACTGGCGTGGTCGAAACACCCATCAATAGTTTTCATTTAAATAGAAGTACAACATATGTGGGATCCAGCAAAGCGGGTTAGAAAATAGCGTTTTTAGTCCCGTTGACTTGCATTCAGTTTTTCGTTCTTCCAGGGACCCACGAGCCAACCGGAAAGGAAGGAGGCTTAGGCCGGGGACACACCGCCTCCGAAGCGCTGGGAGGCGAAGCGCTTGCGAAATTCGGCCGCTGCTCGCTGCTCCTCAGTTCAGACCAGACGCTTGTTTCTCCGCTCCGGTCGAGGCGCGCCTCGTAGTTTTTCTTTTAACCACTTGGTGTCCTCCATTTCCTCTCCGCCTTTTCTCTGCTCTTTTCCTCAACACCCCCCTCCCCCTTGCTGTTTGTGCGTGTTTGTACATGTGTGTGTGTGTGTGTGTGTGTGTGTGTGTGGTTTTTATGCAGTGCCTGTTTACAAACACATTTGACTATCGCGGAATTGTATTTTGAAATGCTTTATTTTGTTAAATTTACCGGCCTGCCTCTTACGTCTAGGTTTGACTTCCTGCCAGAATTGACGCGGCTCACCCACGGCTCACGAAAAAAATAGAGCAGACGTCAAAACGATCGCTGCACGGTGCGGGCTGGAGCACCGGCGCGCCGTGGCGCTTTGGCGGCCCATGTGGTCTATAGAATAGGATAACAAGGGCGCCGAATGAAGGCGGTCCCCATTTCGCGGCGCTTCGGCAGCCGGTGTGTCCCCGGCATAAGGCTCCCTATAGCTTTAAGTAACAGTGTGACGTAGATTTGTCAGGATTTTCTAATCCTAGAGTTTCACCGTCTGTTTTCTGTAAGAAGCTTATGCTGGTGTTAGGTGTAGGAGACTATTTCATGTTCAGCCTGCATGAAACACTCAGTGTGACCCATTAGAATCAGAGATGATCATTAAAACGTGTTTTTTTGTGAACCACACATTTAAAGCTGCAGTAAGTGGCTCATTAGGGTTACCATGGTAACCACATGTGACAAATTCAGGTCACCAAAGGAGGCAGGGCTTTCCTACCAGTTTGACCAAAATGCCGTTGTTGTAAATGTGGAATTTTCTTCCCGGTCTTTTTTCTTGCAGTGTGACCAAAAGTCATGTCACACTGCTTCCAGTTGAGCTTCATGTTGTGAGATTTTATTGATGTTTTTTTTTTCTCCTAAGCTGCTGGGGAAGTGGATCAAAAATCCTGACAGACTAAAGGTTACCTGGCGAGCAGCAACGAGGCTGCTCCAGACATAATGCTGGTCATCAACTCCAGAACCAATGATTTTTTCACCAAATGTACAAATCCACCATCAGCAGCTGCCACATTCTCATTTCCCCGGGGCTCTTTTAGTAGTTTACTGCCTCTTTTATGAGATGGTTAATCATTTTGCAGAGATACATTATGGCAGTGCTCGTAGCAAGGGGGTTAGGGTTAGGCATCACTTCCAGGTCTTGTAATCAGCCGAGGAATCAGCAGAAGTCTTGTATTTCTGTCTCCTCTCGATTTCCCATCGTCTCTGTAATCCAACTTTAAACAGCTCTCACGCTTTGGTTTTCCTTCTCTTGTCCCAGAGGGCCTCCCTTCTGTCCCTCCCTCACACACACTCACAAGTAAACAGCAGGAACACACACATGCTGTAAATCAGCGGATAGTTCTCATTATCATCACCCGCCCGCTGGTCCCCCTCTAAACCCAGTCTGGTTTCTGAGAGTAACAAACTCAAAATCAGATTTGAAAAGTTATTTCATGCTTTTGTTTCCTGTTTATTATTTGGACTCATCAAGTTTTTTTAAAAACCACAGTCCCGAGTCTCTAATGTGTAGTAAAATGTGTGTTTCAGACACGAGGCACGGTTCAAACAGCGAATGCTGGAGCTGACCGACACCAATAACACAGCTTACCTGTTTCTGTCTGCTGCGAATCGCTGGCTGGAGGTCCGAACGGTGAGGAAAATAATCACTCTGCTCGTGTTAGACCTTTAAACTTTGGAGTGTGATATTTTTATTGGTTTTTGTCTCTTTGTGGGTGTTCAGGACTACCTCGGAGCAGTGATTGTGCTGACGGCAGCCGTGGCTTCCATACTGAGTTTCCAGTATGGATACCCTCTAGCCAACGTAGGACTGGTGGGCCTCGGACTCACATACGCCCTCACTGTGAGTCTTTTATCTCATCAGTCCACCCGCGTAACCAAGGCTTCATTTTTGCTGAGTCATTTTTAAACCATAACTTGTGAATCAGGTTCCTGTTGGTCCATGTTTGAAGGGAAGTCTGTTTGGAGCTTTATTAACGAAGGTGTTTCGTTATTGGACTTCTGTGCAAGCCGCAGTTTGGCCATAACGAACACCATGTTCGAACATAAGGTTGCCCATCGGTACACTTGGTACCGGGGTAGCCTAGGTCGCAGGTCGATGATAGACTTTGTAGTCGTATCATCTGACCTGCGGCCGTATGTTTTGGACACCCAAGTGAAGAGAGGAGTGGAGCTGTCAACTGATCACCACCTGGTGGTGAGTTGGATCAGATGGCAGGGGAAGATGCCGCGTAGACCTGGCAGACCCAAACACATAGTGAGGGTCTGCTGGGAACGCCTGGCAGAATAACCTGTAAAGACTGTCTTCAACTCCCACCTCTGGCAGAGCTTTGACCACGTCCCGAGAGCAGTGGGGGACATTGACTCCGAGTGGGCCTTGTTCCACTGTGCGATTGTTGAGGCGGCTGTTGCTAGCTATGGTCGCAAGGTGGCCGGTGCCAGTCGTGGTGGCAACCCCTGTACCCGCTGGTGGACACCAGAGGTTCGGGGAGCCGTCAGGCTGAAGAAGGAGGCCTACAGGGTGTGGCTGGTTTGTGGGTCTCCGGAGGCAGCAGACAGGTACCAGATAGCCAAGAGGGTTGCAGCAGTGGCAGTTGCCGAGGCAAAATCTCGGGCGTAGGAGGAGTTTGGTGAGGCCATGGAGAAACACTATCGATCGGCTCCATAGAGGTTCTGGCAAACTGTCCAGCGCCTCAGGAGAGGGAGGCAGCAACTCACTCACACTGTTTACAGTGGGGATGGGGAGCTGCTGACGTCAACTGGGGCTATAGTCGGACAGTGGAAGGGATAGTTTGAGGAGCTCCTCAATCCCACCTACGCACATTCCGAGGAGGAACCAGAGCCGGGATACCTGGGGATGGACTATCCAATCTCGGGGGCAGAAGTTGCTAAGGTAGTCAAACAACTACACAGCGGCGGAGCCCCGGGGGCGGATGAGACTCGTCCTGGGTATCTCAAGGCTATGGATGTTGTACAGTTGTCGTGGTTGACACGTCTCTGCAACATTGCGTGGTCATCGGGGGGGCAGTTACTGTGGAGTGGCAGACCAGGGTGGTGGTCCCCATCTTTAGAAGGGCGACCTGAGGGTGTGTTCCAACTATAGGGGGATCACACTCCTCAGCCTCCCTGAAAAGGTCTACTCCAAGGTACTGGAGAGGAGGGTCCGATCGATAGTTGAATCTCAGATTGAGGAGGAGCAATGTGGTTTTCGTACTGGCCGTGGAACTGTGGACCAGCTCTATACCCTTGCAAGGGTGATGGAGGGGGCATGGGAGTTTGCCCAACCAATCCACATGTGCTTTGTGGATTTGGAGAAGGCTTATGACCGTGTCCCCAGGGGCACCCTGTGGGGGACACTCCAGGAGTATGGGGTGGACGGCTTTCTGTTAAGGGCCATTCAGTCCCTTTACCAGAGGAGCGTGAGTTTGGTCCGCATAGCCGGTAGTAGGTCGGACCTGCTCCTGGTGAGGGTTGGACTCCGCCAGGGCTGCCCTTTGTCACCGGTTCTGTTCATCACTTTTATGGACAGAATTTCTAGACGCAGCCGTGGTGTGGAGTGTGTCGAGTTTGGTGGCAGGAGAATCTCGTCTCTGCTTTTTGCGGATGATGTGGTCCTCCTAGCTTCATCCAGCTCTGACCTTCAGCTCTTGCTGGGTAGGTTCGCGGCCTAGTGTGAAGCGGCTGGGATGAGGATCAGCACCTCCAAATCTGAGACCATGGTTCTCGACCGGAAAAGGGTGGCTTGCCAACTCCGGGTCAGGAGAGAGGTCCTACCTCAAGTGGAGGAGTTTAAGTATCTCGGGGTCTTGTTCATGAGTGAGGGTAGGAGGGATTGGGAGATCGACAGGCGGATTGGTTCGGCGTCTGCAGTGATGCGGACGCTGAGCTGATCTGTCGTGGTGAAGAGGGAGCTGAGCCAGAAAGCCAGGCTCTCGATTTACCGGTCGATCTACGTCCCAATCCACACCAATGGTCATGAGCTTTGGGTAATGACCGAAAGAACGAGATCGCGGATACAAGCGGCCGAAATGAGTTTCCCCCGTAGGGTGGCCGGGCTCAGCCTTAGAGATCGGGTTAGGAGCTCATCATAGATGTTATGTTCATCAAGAGCAGCTGTTAACTGTTTAGCCACAACTTTTTCCAAGATCTTGGAGATGAACGGAAGTTTAGAGATGGGTCTGAAGCTTCTGTGAAGAAAGGGGTCAAGACTCGATGAGAAGCGATGTTTAGCTGGCCAGTGGAGCTGGTGTCTGGGTCGGATCCAGCTCACAGAAGCCCGCATGAGCTCCAGAACCAGATGACAGGCGACTCTCTCCCTCTCTCTATCGAAGCGCTTAACTCATTAGGTGAACGGATATTAACGAGTATGAGACAGCTGACAGACGCTCATTAGTATTAATATTATATTAACTGATCAATACTATTTTAACTGTCTGATACACAATGGTAATCTGTACAATATTGTGGTGCTAGCACACGAGCTAGCATGGTTAACTCACCTGCTGCTCCCCCGCTGCTTCTCCTCACATCACAGCACAATCTCTCTGCTTTGGCCGATGGTTTCTCCCTCTGGTTTGTTTCTGCTCTCTGGGGCAGCAAACTCATAACTTTATGGTTTTGGTCCATCAGAAGTAGAATTATAAAAATTTAAAGTTTCCTCTGTGTCAGAGCCGCATTAGTCCAGATTTTCCTCTGGATTAAGCTAACAGGACTCCCTCAGCTGACGTCACAAGGTTTGGCAAAAAAAAAAAAAAGCTTTCTCACAAAAATGTTTCTAAAAGCCTAAATAATTTATGTATGAGTAAAAAAAATGTAAAACTAGTTTCTATTATCTTTCTCTAAACATTGGTTCATGGGAGTCTCTAGCTTTTTTGCTCTTTGGGTTTTATTAAAGGGGAAGTAGATTTTAAAACCTCATTTGCCTTAGTGGTGTTGGGTTGGTCAAATGTACCAAAAGGTCTGTTCCATTTCTGGCCTGCTTTCCTTTGTAAAGTAGTCATGTTGTAATTGCCACTCAGGAACGTCTCGTTCTGAGAAACGCTGATTTAACACTTCACATAAGCCTGGAAACACACCCATGTGACCATGTGATATTTCACTTTTTCTTTTTTAACTCATTCACTGCCAATGATGACTTAAGTCGTCTTTTGCATGTTTTTACTGTGTGGGCGTCGGACAAGCCCCCGCACAGTGAGAACAAACATCCCAGCTCTAAAGCCGATCTTCATCCACATACGTCACACATCACATGATCAGGAAGCAGAACATCCATGTGTTAAGAGAACGTTTTGGGCTGCTGCTGTAAAAAAAGTGAGGCGAGAACCGGAAAAGCTTCTGCCGATCACAATTCGACAACAAATTATGAAAGAATGGATAATGCTCGAAACACGCGGATTCTTCCTGATGTAAGAGATGAGAAACGCTGGCAGCGAAGGGCTTTACCCATCAGGAAACGGCTGGCAGCGAATGAGTTAAGAACTGCAGAAATTCCGTTTTTCTGTTGATAAGGGGCGCTATGTGTACATTAATGAGGTAAAAGTGGATATACTTGATTTTAGCATATGGCTGCGATATGACAGAGTGAAAAATCGATGGAGGTCTGAATACTTTCTGTACCCACTTCGCTTATAGAATTGACCTCCTTAGAAAACCACAACTGAATTTTTTCCTTCCTGATGGAATTTCCCTAATGACTGTGATAAGATGAGTAAAGCTCATGTTGAAAAAGCAATTCAGGGAAATTTTGAGTTTGGCCATCAAAGACTTTATGAAAATCATTCATAGTTTTAGCTGCGGTGGCGTTTTCCAGTTGTCTGGTGATCCTATAGTGAACGAAGTTCAACAAGTCTGTTGAAACAACACCTGATGAACATGTTATGTCATCGTGTCTAAAGGCAGTCCAAGTGTTGACCACATTTATCAAATATTAAAATATGGATTTGTTCCTTTGCAGGTGACTAACTACTTAAACTGGGTTGTGAGGAACTTGGCAGACCTGGAGGTGCAGATGGCAGCCGTGAAGAAGGTGAACAGCTTCCTCAGCACGGAGTCTGAGAACTATGAGGGATCTATGGGTAAGCGCTGTTGACCCTACTTCACACGGGGCTGGCTTTAACTCAGGCCAACCTGAAGCAGGTTTTTAAAAGTACATTTTGGCGATTATTTTGGGTCAGACTTCATGATTTTAAAAGGCTAACTGCATCAGAAATTTAGAAAATATGTTACTGAGTCATTCCAGAGTGATGCAAACAAAAATGTCTTCTAAAAATAAAAACCTTTCTTAAAAGTCCAGTTTTAAATATGTAAACGTTTGAATCTGGCTAAGACAGAATCTTCTCACAAATGTAAATTACTGTTATAGATGCATTATTTTGCATTTGCTTTGACAACAATAAAATGGTTAATGGCCTGTATTTGTATAGCGCATTCTTGGGGTTCTGCAACCCCCCAAGGCGCTTCACAACACAATCAGCCATTCACCCATTCACACCCTGGTGGTGATGAGCTACGATGTAGCTACAGCACACTGACAGAGGCGAGGCTGCTGAACACAGTCGCCACCGGTTCCCTCTGACCACCACCAGCAGGCAGGTGGGGTTAGGTGCCTTGCCCAAGGACACAACGACAGCATCAGACTGAGCAGGACAATAATAACCAGCACTACAAACTAATTAAGAAAAGTGAAATGGTCTTCGTTGCTTTTTTCATCCATCCATCCATCCATTTTTGTTGGTTTTATTAGTAAAATAAAAAGTCTGTTGCTGAATAAAACCCACAACTTCAACAGAATGTCTATTTCAACAAGCTCCCGAGCGTTTCACAATAAAAGCCTGTGAAGAGATATGAATTAAAACCATTAATTTTCCTCCTCTTATGCTTAACCTAAACTTTTGTTTTTGGTTTTTAAGTGTCAAATATTTCATGGAGACTAATAAACCGTGATTAAAAAATAAGACTCTGATGTAACTTTAGAATAGAGATGGATACTAGGGCTGGGCGGATCGATCTAAAATATCGATAGTATCTATCTAACGTTGGTATTGAGTATTTACTAGATACCTGCGTGATGGTATCGATTCAGTTTCTTCTAGCCTGGCAAGCCATGACGTACTCACCGCTACAGATGTCGGTCAACGAGGCAGTCTACCAAACTCTTTCAAAGAAGATGCAAAGCACATCCTTTTCCTAAATAAACGTTAGTACTTCTATCTGATCTTGACTCAAATAAAAGCTACAGTCATAATACTTATCTGTCATAGTGCTTATCTGCTAAGCACATAAACATAAACATAAACATAATAGTCCAGACTTGATGCCAAAGCCGTTTCTAACGAGCGGCTGACCACGGACTAGTCATGTTTTTTTTTCTAATAACATCCCGCCTACTTAGTGTTGCGATTGGCCCATGAAATCTATATAGCGCCATGATTGGACCACTACAGAACGGCAGCCATTGATTTGTAGTTTACCTGGCTGATACCTGTGATTGGACCGTTTCGAGCGGCAGCCATGTTTGTTTGCAGGGACATCCCGCCTACCTCGCTAAAAGAGCGCTGTGATTGGCCCAAAAAACTATTAAAGCACTGTGATTGGAATGCCACAGATGTCAGTCAATGGGGCAGTCCGCCATTACATAAAAAAAAGTAAAACAGCGCGCCAGCACGAGACAAGCACAGAACAGCAGAGAGCGCTGTTGTGGCTGCATGATGGCAGACCGAAAAAGGAGCGCCGTTTAGAGTTTTTTTACACAGCTTTATAGATTTCCAATAGAAAAATATCTTGAGCTTGTTAACCATTTTTAAACCATTTTGAGTTTCCTAATGAAAACTTTATTTGCCTGAAAATGTTCCCTGTGTTTTATCATCACCGTACACATGATTTATTAAAGGAAAAATTATATTTAAAATATTAAAGGAATGACATCATCAATATGAGAATCTTGTCTGAAAACTCAAGTTTTATTGATCCTATTTATCTTAATAAATCCCACAAAACTAGATGGTACTAGACTTGTAGTAAAAAGTATCGGTATTGGTATCGGTATCGGCAATACTAGCCCCTGTATTTACTTGGTATCGGATCGATACCAAATTTTGCAGTATTGTACAGCACTAATGGACACGAGGCAGGGTCTGAATTAGCTGTTCCGAGTGTTGGCTGATTGGCAAATGAACTATTTTAGTTTAACTGAGCATTCCACCACCAGTAGGGTTTTCTGACATTTAGTCTTGAGTTTAGCTAAGCTCTGGTAAAATGAGTCTTCTATTAGTTAACTACCAGATGAAATCTGGGTTTTGTTATTTCCATCCAGACTCCTCTCAGGTGCCTGAGAACTGGCCTCACGACGGTGAGATAAAGATCCACGACCTGTGTGTGCGCTACGATCCCATGCTCAAGCCGGTGCTGAAACACGTCAGCGCCTACATCAAACCGGGCCAGAAGGTAATTACCGAGATGCTGAGAGGACAGAGAAGCAGGGCGGTGTCAACCTCCTTCCTGACCTCAGTGGAGGTTAAAACGTGATGTTTAATCAGAGATGCATTACCCTTTACCTGCTCCCTAAAAGGACTCTTGAAGCTAAAGTTTTAGCAGCAACATGATGCAGGAACTGGTAATTCACACGCTGTTGAGAGCTGCAGCTGGCCTCATACTTGCGCCTCAGTGAGATTTCTCTACATGTGACTTTGGTCACAGGGAAGAGGAGACCCAGGAGGACCAGATGGGTCATGTTTACAGAAACAGGTAACAGAGCAGGTCTACAACATGAGGGCTGTTGTAGTTCTACTTGGGCAACAAGGTCCATATCCTGTGTTTTATTTATGTATTTCCCCTCCAAACAACCGGAGGTTCTTGTATTTGTTTGGGTGGTTTGAGATCATTTCAGATGGCTTCTAAAAGATTTAATATTGTTTGTTAGTCTATGGATCTAAATGGAAGCACGAACAATAGTAGCATTAAACACCTTTTTTGGTAGAAACAGTTAGTTTATTTTCTTTAGCTGAACTTATTAAAACTTCCAGAGGACATAATAGTTTGATGGATTGATTTGAGATTTTTTCTGTGGGAGAAAACTATGGCGCTCCTGTTTCAGGAAGCAAAAGTGAGCCAGAGGAGAGGGGAGCAGAAAACAGCAGGATTTCAAGGGGTGTTTCTCAATGTCAAGGCGCCTGGCCTTGTGAGGCGATGTCTTGCGAGGCCAGGCTCCTTGCTTACGAGGACACGGTCCTTCCTTGGTCAAAGAAAACGGTTAAATGGAACAGTGACTGCGGCCTCTACGGCGGTCACGTAATGTCACGTGACGCGGGAGATAACGTTATATTTTATACGTATTAGTTTCAATATAAATATATAACGAGCCTTTTACTTTTTAAATTGTGTATATGTTTATTAAATTAAATATATAAGTGAGTTACTACCCGCTAGCCACCGAAGCTGCAACTACTAAGCTACTAACAAACCATAGATAACTTCTTTGGATCTAAAAAAAAAACATTTTAAATTAGTTGACTTACTTTTAAACTTGAAAATTGTCCCTGAAGTAGCTGCCGGCTTCTGATCCGCCGTCCTTTTGAAAATAATGCGATGCATTCTGGGTAATTTTTGGCCAAGGCTAGGCTACAAGACACCTCCCATGTATCCTTGCTCAGCTAGCTAAACGGCTAACAAACGGAGAACACACGCCTCGGTAGAACATGAACATTGGAACGCGTCTTGGCGGCTCCTGATGATGTATCTCCTAGGCAACCGGGGCAGGGCCAAGACATCAAGGCGAGGTTCCTTGACATTGAGAAACACCGTTGATATTTGGACATCTGGCCTCTGATTGGCTAACAGCAACGTGACTACCACTGACCCCAAAAGAAAAGTAGGATCTTTATACTAAACAAAAAGGGGATGAAAAAGCAGGTTTTGGTAAATGACCTGTGTTTTTATAGCGCCATCTTAGGGTTCTACAACCCCCCAAGGCGCTTCACAACACAGTCAGTCATTCACCCTTTCACACTCTGGTGGTGATGAGCTACGATGTAGCCACAGCTGCCCTGGGGCACACTGAAGGAAGCTAGGCTGCTGAGCACAGGTGCCACTGGTCCCTCTGACCACCACCAGCAAGCAAGGTGGGTTACATGCCTTGCCCAAGGACACAACATAAGCAATGTCTAGTCAGAGTCGGGATCAAACCTGCAACCTTCCGCTTACTGGACAACCTGCACTACCCCCCGAGCTACTGCTGCCCAATATTTTCCAAGAGTTACCATATTTTGTGCGTTCTTCCTGATGCCAGGAGCCTCAGCAGGTGTGAGATGCTCTCAGCTGAGGGTTCTACTGACCTGAAGCGCTGCTCCTGTTATCTGTTATTCTGGCTATGGGCCGCAGTCCTAAAACCACATCTGTACTCAGATCATTGTTTTTGGGTCGGAGACGTAAATAACAGTTAAAGTCGTTTGTGTAAACACGTTAAAGATCCAGAATCATCCGGGAATATTTGCTCCTCATCTTCTATACTTCATCCTTCCACCTCATTTCCATCGTTTTCTCGGTTCTTCCTCTCCTTCTTGCTCTTCCTCCTTCTTACTTCCTCCTCCATTCTCCCTTTCCTCTGAATCATGTTTCCTCTACTTTTGCCTCATGGCCTCCTTTCTACTGACTGTCCTTCCTTAAATTTTCATCCAGTCCTTGTCAATCATCATCTTCTCTTTATCCTATTTTTGTCTAATTCGTCCTCTACTTCTCCTTGCTGTCCTTAATTCTTCCTCTTCCCCTTTATTGAATTGACCCTTGATTTATTTTTTTGTATTATTCGTCCTTCTTTTGCTCATCGTTCTTCTTTCCACCATCAGGTAGGGATCTGTGGGCGAACAGGAAGTGGGAAGTCGTCTCTGTCGTTGGCCTTTTTCAACATGGTGGATATTTTTGAAGGTAGGTCTTCTTCTCATCCCTCTGAATAGAAGAGCTCTCTCTCTCTCTCTCTCTCTCTCTCTCTCTCTCTCTTTCTCTCTCTCTGTCTCATCTTTATCTGTCCTCCCATCGACAGGAGACGTTTTCTACATGATACCCCGAAGAGCTTCTCTCTTACACCAAACTTATTTTTGATTATAAAATACTTCATTTCAGTTTAGTTTCCACTTTTTCCATTTTGGTCTTTCTGCTGATCAAAACTTGGAAGCAATACAGAGATTTTTTATGTGAAGTAATTAGTATTAACAACAATTTAACTCTGCTCTGAAAACATTAACTTCATAGTTTCAGTTTTATTATTTACTAATTGAAAAGTTGTTAAGTATTCATCAGATGGTTTATTTCAAGATGGTGGAGTATAAGTTTTTGGTGACTCACAGCTCACCCTGCTCAATGTTTTAACCAACTTAAACAGTCCACTTGGAATGCTAAGATTTGAACTCTCATCAATCAATCAATCAATCAATACTTTATTAATCCCAGAGGGAAATTAGAGTTTCAGTACACACAATTCAGAGATCAGACACACATGGGCAAGACACATGACAAGAATTGGTGACTGTGGTCATTTGCAACCCTGAGTCACGCTACCTTAATAGAGATAAGAGGTTTACATGAGGATTGGTTCAGGTGGAGGGAACAAAAGGCACTTCAGTTACCCTCCCACCAGGAGGGCAGCTTTGCTCTGCAAAAAAACACCTCAACAGATATGCAACAGACTTCAGACAACACAACATGAGGTCCGCGTTCCTTCGTGGGGGTTTGTTGCTTGCAGCTCAAGGCTACCAGGGCGTCAGATTCGGATAACAAGACTTTGTTTGGGTCAGGCTGAGATAATTTTCCTCTCTGCCTTCAGTCTTTAAACTGATCATTTCCAGTCCTTCAGTGAAGCCAATTTTGGGTTTTTAAACCTGTCCATACCATCCGGTGACCCTCTCTGAGATGACATCCATTTTGCGCACTAATACCGGTATCGCAGCTAGAACATTGTCCAGCTTACGATTCACCTCGAGTAACGTCCCAGTCTGAGAAGTCTCCACACAGAAGGTGCTTTCCGTGGGTGCGGGTCGCCCTCCAATCGCTCCCGTCTTCCCAAAAGTCCAGAAAACCAGATATCCTCCCACTCCAATCAGGAGAAATCCAGTGATCATCAGACCAAATATCCACACGTCTTCCATGTCCTCAATGGACAGCTGGGAGAGGCATATGATCTTCCATTCCTTCCAGGAATCCAGCATATACCCCACCGGGTGTCTCCCCTGTGGACATGTGGGAGCCCCCTGCTCTGTTCTCATTGTTGAAAAAATCTTATCAATCGCGTTGAATGACCAGTTTATCAAATCCATGTTTAAAAATAGGGTTTTTCAGAAGAAATGCAGAGAAGCGCTCTGTGGGCAGACAGGACAATGAGCCTTGGGAAAAAAAGATAAGGGAGCGAAAAGAGAAGTGTCTGTACTCGGCGAGTGCCAGGAAGAAAAAAGACATTAAGATTAAGATGTTTGAATCTAGATTCTGGCTCTGGCGATGTCATCTCTTTGACGTGTATGTGATGTCACCTAGTGCAAGTACACTTACAACTGAGTCACAACATGCTGTAACTAGTTGTGAAAATAACAATTATACATGTAGCTGTAGACATGTACAAATATATCTGAAGGGAGTTTTAGGGAATTTTCTGTTACACTTGTTTAAACAAATTTAAGATATCCGACCGCGACCAATTTTGGCTGTAGACACCACAGCGTCAACCGGCGCAGCCATGTTTGTTTCACCCACCCTACGGCACAGTACTGACACACGATTGGATTGGCCTATTCTGGGCCGGAGGTCAGACGGTTTGAACCGGAGCGGTACAAGATGGATTCTCCTGAGCTTGGAAAACTCCAAATCTCGCAAAAATTCATCTTGCAGCGCAAGGCTACGTGAACATAGTCTTTTACCACTATTTCCTGCATTAGTTGGTGATAGAAAGTAGATGGGAAAATGCTCAGATTAGAAAAACCAGTCAGATCTATGTCACTCTTAACATTCATGGACTCACCCATCTTGACTCACGACGGGAAGCAGCGGAGAACCTCTTGGCTAGTAGAAGTTAACTGTTAGCATTAGCAACTTCACCACACAGCCGTACTCCTCCATGCTTGTTATTTGTGAGATAAAACATTAACGTTGCAGACAAACAGAGTCGGTGGTAGAGTCGTGTTGCTGTTAACCAATCAGAGGAGAGATGTCCACATATCAGGAAATAAGACTACAGATCCTGTCGTCTTCTGCTCCCCTCTGCACTGGCTAATTCTAGTTCCTGCAGCAGAATTGTCCCACAGTGATCGACTCACCAGACATTCATTTATACTAGAGACCATTGCACATGTGTGAAAAAAATCTGTGAACCTGATCTTTCATATTTCAGAAGCTAAATCATCATGAAGGGTTAGGTCTGTTCTCCAGCTGCTGGATGGTGCTTAAATCAGATTTATTAAATGTTCTCATGAATCTCATCATCATCATCCTCAACCTTTATTTATAAAGCACATTTAAACGGCGACAACGCCAACCAAAGTGCTGAACAAGACAATACATCACCAAACTACATACAGCAACATAAAATAGATAAAACAAATAAAAACTATAGTAACAAAAAACAGGAAAGCAGACGGGTTAAACAGTCTCAGCCGGGAAGGCAAGGGAATAAAAATATGTCTTCGAACGTACTTTAAAAGCGGGAAGGGAGGGGGCAAGTCAGACCGTCAGGGGGAGTTGGTTCCAAAGTTTAGGCGCACAAACTGAAAAAGCCCGTTCGCCACGGGCCATATAGCGGGCAGGACGGACAAGCAGAAGGTGCTGGTCAGAGGGCCTCAGGGTTCGCGCCGGAACATAGGGACTCAAAAGATGTGCCAAATAAGAGGGGGCCATTTCATGAATAGATTTGTAAACCAACAGGAGAATTTTGAACTTAATCTGAAACCGAACTGGAAGCCAGTGTAAATTTGCCAAAACAGGGGTGATATGCTGCCATCGCTCTATGCCCGTAAGAAACCTTGCGGCAGCATTCTGAACCAATTGGAGGCGTACCACTGAAGAGGAGAGAATACCATATAAGAGAGAATTGGTATAGTCCAGATGTGACGTTACAAAAGCATGAACAACTGACTGAAGATCTTTTTTGTTCAGGATAGATTTTAGTTTGGCCAGTTGACGAAGATGAAAGAAACACGACCTGCCTGATTTATCTGTGCATCCATTTTTAAAAAAGCATCCAGCGTGACCCCCAAATGTGTAATTGTCGGCTTCACCAAAACTGACAATGAACTGGGCAGAGATGGCTCCACAGCCGAGGGGGAGCAGGGGGCAAAGAGAATAGCCTCCAGTTTGGAGCTGTTAAGATGGGGAAAATTAGCCGAGAGCCAGGACCTGACTTCACTCAGGCAGTCAGTCAGTGGTTGCACAGGGTCAGCAGATTTTAGGGCCATACAAATCTGACCATCGTCAGCGTAGAGATGAAAATTTACCCGGAATTTTCTAAAAATGGCTGCTAAAGGTAAAATATATAGATTAAAAAGAAGCGGACCTAAAACGGACCCCTGGGGAACCCCACAAAAAAGGTGCCACTCTAGAGGCGCAGTTCCCCAGGGCAACATTAAAACATCTGCCATTGAAATAGGAGCAGAACCACTCTAAAGCTGTTCCGTGAATGCCAATTAACTGCATCTGTGGAAAGTAAAACCTCATAACTTATATCTCCACACCTACGTAGTTTACGTGGTAATTCTAACATCCAAAGAGGAAACTATAAACGTATTTCACTTACAAATGACTCTAAAGACTCCTAAATGTGTCCTTTGAATTCTTTAGACTCAGATCTGTTTATTTCTCACCTACACATGAGCTGATGTAGCGTCTCTAACTCTGATTTAAGACCTAAGTCCCTCCAAACCCACTCAAGAGCTTTGCCAACATGTTTTCTTTCTTACAAAAGTTTATTAAACGGTTCAAAAGCCACAAATACAGATGTTGTATGCCAATCTATAAACATGATCATCAAATCTGATCTAACCTGCTGCAGATATTTATTACTTTTTTCCTCCTGAAATGCTTGAGTTTAATGACACTCTGAGAACTTATTTTTTTGGCCCCAACATTTTAGTCTTAAAATAACAAAACTGGGTCCCTGTTTTAAAACAAACCCAAATATAGACATTTATTTAATAGTTTAATAAACAGCCAACGTCTCAGCTCATAAATTATGAAAATTATTGAGCTGATTTTTTGTACAAACTAAAGCTAAGTGAACTTAATCTATCACTGTTCCCGTAAAATATGTTCTTAAGTCGTCTTTAGACGTCTTTTATTCGACGTATCGGATTTGTTTATGTAGAGAAAATGTCCCACTTTAGTTTTCAGCTCTGTTTAAAGTCCTGCAGTTTCCTCTTTTCTACTTATTTAAGGACCTGAAGTGGACTCCTCCTTTTTCTGAGGATTAAAGACGAAGAAAGTCTATTTTTAATTGCATTGTTTTACAACTGAGTTTTGGTCATTTTCTGTTTTTACCCTAAAGGGTGTGGAAAGCTTCCAGGCACACACACACACACACACACACACACACACACACACACACACACACACACACACACGTGCAGCTGGCCGGTGATTTAAATCCACTGTAGGTTAGGAGCTGTTTGTGTCTGCAGCGTTTCCTTATAAAGCAGTGAAATAAACTCGGAGCAGCTGCTCCTCTGACTCAACTCTGCTGCACTGATGTCATTTCATTACTCTGAAATCAGACTTTAAATTTAACTGGACAAGAATGTTAAATCAAGGGCTGCAGCTATCGAAAAAGTTAGTATTCGATTATAGTATCAAATCCTCCATCGATTTATCGAATATTCTATTTGCTGCTAAAAATATGAAAATAAAACAGCAAAATTATAAAAGGATCAACAATATGCATTAAACAGTGATGT